TATCGCCCTGATGATGGAGTCAGTATTTACTTCTGAAACGTCCTTCGATATCTACTAGACTTCTCTTCCCAGAAGACACCTACCTTCATTCTCGTCTCCGCGAGAAACTGAAAATCTCACCCATTTACCCCGTTTTTTTGTGATCCAAATCACATTTCAGAAATTCTGCATTAACTTATAGTTTCTCTGAGCTGTGCGCCTGCGTGTTTTAATGTCTTTCCTATTTGCTTCTATTGTGTCTGATGTACACAATATTACAATGAAACCCATTTGGAAAGTAGGTTAATTCATATCCCGATGCGAGCTCTACAGACGTGTGTCTATTATATATTGACAAAATATTGCCATAATTCAATATTGAATTAACTCTTTCAGCTCCTAATTATTTCTGCACTAAATAATGTCTTCTTGTTCTCCAGTGTGGCATCCGTGATGTTAATTAATGAACCAAATTAACTAGTGAAAGTGGTCTAAAACGTTTCGTGTCAAGTGCAGATACACACCGCTTGATGTCGCCACTGCAGATGAGCGTCTTGCCAATTGTATCGGCGAACAATGCTCTTTGGGTGGTTATGTGATACATTGCCCTTTCTAAGAGGCCGACAATTGAATCGTGGGCCGATGTTCTATAAAATTGTAGCCTTGTTGTGCGGGAAGGTGTTAATGACAGATTCAGAGCACGAGAAACAAGATTAGAATTCCGGTCTGTACGCACGATTGAGGTGAGTTGCCTATCCCAAGTAATTAATTGCATTATTACTTGTCTGCTGTGAAGTATCACGACCGTGGAGGTCGGTTGGTCTCGTGATGATACAAGAAAATCGAAAAGGAACCAGATTAAGTAGAAAAGGTTATTTTTTTTAAAAGTAACTGAATCCGTTTCACAGTTTTGAGGAAATAAAAATATTCTGTGGAATGTAGGTGGTGAAAAATAGTTTGTGAATGTAATAAAAAAAAGTACAGATTTGTTTCGGACCTAAACCAATCTTTTAAGTAATTTATAATGTATTTCGTTCAAAAAGTAAGTGTATGAATTGTAGTTTAATTTGAACACTGAGTCATAGTTAGATAAAAATTATCTTGCAGATGTTTCGCTGACTTTGATTTTAAATATAATTCAAGCCGCAAACGTTGGGACGAACTAAACAATTCACAGACTTTTTTTTTTTTTTGAGAATTCCGTCTCTTCATTTCGAAATGTCGCGGAGTTGGTTCTTTCAAAACAGAGCGACCAAAAATTTATTACGCGTTAAAAATCACAAAATTTGCCTGCTCATCGAAAAAGAATGTGTAGTTTCATTCAAAAATTGTCCCGATTATTTTTTTTTAAAAAATTATTTCCAGCAATGGCATTTTTCTAGACGTTAATTTCCTCGCTGGAGTCACTACGATTATTTCATACCCGAATGTGGCCTCGCAGTTGCTGCTTCATTTTTTTTTTCTGGAATGCGACTAGGGAATTTTCTTTTTCGAACCGTTAGTCTAGCGTGGCCATCGACAGAACATAACTAAAGTATCTTTTAAAGCGTTAGAAAACTACAGCTTTCATCTGCCGCCTGCCGCAATTAATACTTTATAACTGTACAAATATTTATAATGTAATCTCTGCGTCGCTGCAGACACACTCTGTCGGTGCCCGTAGTAACTGAATTAGACGTCTTCAAAAACTACGTTGCAGACATTTTAAATGGACTGGCTGATTCAGTAAGACTTACGAACACACTGAAGTAATGAATATTTTCTTTTCGTACAATAGGCAGATAACAATTATTCCTTGTAGTTAATCACAAATTAATTTTTATTTTATTTCTGTGTTCTCGGTCAGAAGCCTTACTCTTGAGCCAACGCCATGATAATAATAATAATAATAATAATAATAATAAAATAAAGATGCATACTGACTTGGATTAAGGCTGTACCTGACTTTAGGCTACACAATAATAAAGTATTTATAATGCTATATATTTGTTTATAGTAAAATGTGTTATAAAAAATACATGTTTCGACTTTCATGAAGTTATCTTCACAGAGCGAAAGGCCACAAAATGAATCAGAGTTTTATGCCTAGACTCAACCCCATAGATCCCTCAAAAAACAGAGAATTTCTTTAAAATTTGTACACGTGTTCAGTAACACTGAAATTTGAATTGAAAGCATCGGAACAAAGTACTGTTGAAGTTCTGGAATAAAATTAATAATAAAAGGTTTGATCTCCTGTACGCGGTGTATTTGTTGCTATGATTGCGGTTAATAAATTAAAAATCTGAAGATTTTCACTGGATCAGTGACCTTTGCTTTGGATGCTGTGGGCAGCTAAGAAGGCGGTGAAAACTGGGTCATAAGCACTGGAGCGATTTCTGATCTCGTTTCTGTCTTGACTTCCCGATGCAATGACAAGCGGAGTTTAATTGGTTCTGCGGTTTTTATCGCTCTCATATCCCCCACGACCAACCACCACCAATAAATCAAAAGATAACTTACTTTACTTAATTCGTTCATCATAGATAATGAAAACGATGATATGGACATTGCTGGTCTGATACGTACAAAAGCAAATTTTTAACTATTTATGTGTTTTTTTACCAACACATTCAAGTACCAGGGAAATATTTTGTAATTCTGTCTATGATAAATTTTTTGTCATTTTTAATTTCTAAGCTTATCGAGAGTTTCCCAAACTTATTTTTCTCTTCGGTTGGTATTTTAAAATATATTTGTGATGTCAGAGGTCGTCCTGTCGGCGTTTTCCTCCGTGCTTCCGCCCTAGCATTAACGATGCACTCACCTTCAACCAAGAAATTTATTGAAATTCTAATTTCTCTCAAGGAATGCGAAACATTTACACTCATTGCAGAATTTTAGTGGTGAAATATGGAGGTGAATTTGCTTAAGAGACCTAGAGAAAGGGAGACAGAAGACTTTATTTTGCGTTCTTCGTAGTGTTAGCCGGGCTAACACGGTTAACACAAATGCTCCGATCCTGATGATGGTGTCCCTGCTCTAGTGGAATAATTTTCATACAGAATTTCGTGAAAATCACTTGTAACTCTAAATTTATTAGTGGAAAAAGTGAGTGAAGTAGAACCATTAATCTGTATTCCAAAACTTGGATTCATAGACAAAAGACTATCAGGGTTAGTGCGGTATGTACAACTACAGAATACAATTTAAATATGTGTAAACGCGCACACTAAACTGTCGTATATATTTTCCGCATTTTTTAAGTCTCACATTTATACTTTAAAAAATTCTAACTTGCCAAAATGGGGCCACATCATTGGCTAAGAACTGTGCTCCTGAGGACGGACTCGGAGCTCAGATGTCCGAAGATGGGCGAAGTCTGTGCAAAACAGGATTTGATTATAGCTGACGACAGGGCGATCATCGGCGCAGAATTTTTTGGAAAAAATAATATTTAGGCGTTTCCGGACGCGGAAATGAATGAGTTTAAAAAAAAATTTACTGTTAGTCGAAGACACGTAATGAAATCCGTTTAGGGTAGAACTTGTCACCCGCTGAGCTACCACACTATTGTGAATTCCGGGTCGGAACTTGACACCAAGGTAACGGAGCGAACCACGAGAGGAGAGGAGGGGTCTCTCTCTCTGTATCCAGTCTTGTGGGTGGCAAAGGAATTGGTGCATGAAATTCCCCTTTTTATTTGCAGATATTTTTCTTTGTCAAAAAACTTCAATCCATGGCTCTACAAACGATGTAGTCTGCTGTCTATTTTCAAAATATTTCATCTCTATATTAAATAAGGATTTTTACGTTATTGCTATTATTGAATCATACACGAAATAGCTATTTACGATATCTACAAATGATGGAGAATGAATGTTCAGATTTTACGACCCTCAAAACAGAGATTTTTAGATCAGGTACTATGAAACTATGTATAATTATTATTTCACTTCATTTATACGGCTGTATCTGTCACCACGTACGAATAACATAAACTGAGGTTGTTTTAGAAAACTGTGGACGATATTTGGACTCTCAGAAGAAATACCAATCAGCTGACTCTTACGAATGTCTCAATAAACTTACGCTTTTCATAAGGGCAGGCAACTGTTGGCTTCTGGAAAAGCTGATATGCAATCTAATTCACAGCATCGTGAGGTTTAAGTGCAGTCACGGCTATATTAATTACAATAACAAACTTTTATGACATATCCGTCGTCTTAATTTAAATTAAAACCGACGTTTCGGAGACTGGAATCTGTCTCCGTCCTCAGGTGAATCCCATTCTGTTGGGCTCAGTCGATACAACTTGTCCCTAATTCCGTTCTTTTCAATTAAGACCACAAATATACTTTATTCGAAACTAAAGTCGGTGCAGTAGATTCAGATCACATCCTGTTCGACTCTTACGCCCAGTCAAGGCCCCGTAGACCTTGTGATATGTATATAATTCCAGCCTTGAAATGTGTCTTGATTCCCTCGCCATACGTGGACCTACGTGTATTCTAACGCTACATCACCGAGCCCGTGTCTTATAATGCGTGGCTTCGCCCCTCGTAGCTTTCTCGTCGCAAAAGTCTTCTTAGTTTAGGAAAAATATCGTTGGAGACGTAAGTTGGACGAGACTCGTTCGTGGAACGGACGAGCTCGGAGTCAATATAAACAGTTCCATTGAAAAACGTTGAATAATATTTTCTGAAAAATCGGCAAGGGCTCGTGTCGTTATCTTCACGTTCTTATATAAATAGACCTTAATTGTTCTGTTCTTCGCCTCGTCCAGACCGGTTTTGTGGTCCACCCAGCCTCTTATCCAGAGATTTTCTTCGAATATTTTCCTGGGGTAAAGTGACAGGAGCGTGAAGCTAACTACTTTTGTTATATATAATTTTGTAGTTTAAGAATGAGTGGATCTACAACTCCACTCCCTCGAACTTCTTCTTGGTTGTTTCAATTTACTGACTTGAAGAAGTAAATTCAAGTTCCGGAAGACTTAAGCTTTCTCGTCGTCTAAGTGAACTTTTGTTCTGTCGTTCCAGGAGACACGAAAAATAAGGTCCTTCAAGCAACATGAAATCCGTGGATCGTATGTCAGGCTCCGAGGGTTCTGGAACTCCGGACCCGGATCGAAATGCCGCCTTCTGGCCCGAGGACGATGAAGAACTCGAAGTGGACTACATGCATCTGGGTTCCGAGGATTCTGGAGGAAAAAGAGGGAACGACAAAGCTCGACAAGGTCTCTTTGCACCCCTCTGTGTTTAATTGGCACTTTGAAGCCCCTAACGTAGACAATCAATTCTCCCTTCTCTTGGTCGACGTACCGAAGGGTAGTGCTTAAAGAATATCTCGGGCACTGACGTCGATGGTTCGAAACCCGTCAAAGACATGGATGTATGTAACTTTTTCTATGTTGTCCCGTGTAAATAAAGGGCTCTAATATTATTTCCAATTGATATGGGACTCTGGTTATGTTGGCATCTTATGCACTCTTACGTATGCGTCAGAATTAGCCTGTGTGCATACAGATCACGCGATGAATCAGTAAAAGAACTTTTTTTTTCTAATCAGACGTCCCAAAATATGGAAAAAAAGATGACGCTTTCAGATGCTGTGTCTTGTCGATGAAATGTGCCCGTGATGTGGAGGTAGCTAGCAGACTCGGGGAGTGGTGACGTCAGGAAGGGCAGTTTAGAGCAGTGATATTAAATCTTTTTTGTTCGCGTACGCCCAGATATAATTTCTCTTCAACTTTGTACCCCCCAACGTTGTTGGTGTATAATTCAAGTTATACGTAGTATATAATCTACATCTAAAATAAATTAAATAAATTACATTACTGATTATTCAGTGTTTATCGTAAAATAATATATTTTTTTTAAAATTTTACGTCCCCCCTAAGATGTCTTCGCGTACCCCCAGATATAATTTCTCTTCAACTTTGTACCCCCAAAGTTGTTGGTGTATAATTCAAGTTATACGTAGTATATAATCTACATCTAAAATAAATTAAATAAATTAAATTACTGATTATTCAGTGTTTATCGTAAAATAATATATTTTTTTTTAAAATTTCACGTACGCCCTAACATGCCTTCGCGTACCCCAGGTTGAATACCACTGGTCTAGAGAGAGAAAGCTTTTCGCTGGGACCGACAGTCTCATAAGAGAAAGGTGTCATTACAGCGGCAAAGAAAATAACATTTAGCCAGTCGGGTAAATAAACGTTCAGAATGTTTACGTGTTCGAAAAGACAGCCATCTTCATTTATATACGTCCATTTAGAAGAAGTATTTTATCACTTTCATATTTCGCTATGACCCATGTTAATATTTGTAAAAGAAAAAAATGCTGTGATAATTTTGCGAAAATACGTTTCAGAAGTGACTTTTAAAATTACTCGGAAATTTTCAGTTTTAACGTTTGTTTCGTCGGTAATGGAAGTCCTTACACTTGCATTTGACGATATTAAATGTCTCTCGGCCACTGCTCACACCACCGACGCGCGAATTATGATATCCTATTTCGTGACGTATATGTACACATTATTTTCATTATGATTGCATTAATATTACAAAACTTATAGCGATTATTTAATGCGTACTTACTTCCCACCCACCCTGTAGTTACCGGTGGATAGAAGTAGTTTAAGTCTGCTGAATATATTCAGCTTTGGTAATATTAAGAGTGGGAAATATTACTTTTGAGGAATTATATCTCGTTTCTATACATGGAAGGGGATATTGAACAATGAAATTATCAGCTTTCAGTATAGTAATTTGTTATTGTCTACAGGTTAGGGGTGAAATTAGGATGGGGGGAGACAAAGAATATTTACCGATTTTTGATGTGGAAAACATTTAAAAACTGTGACGTAGAAACCCGCGGAGATGTATTTTAATGAAACAATGGAAGTCTGTGGTTGCTTTTGGCATTAGCGATGTTTGAATCCTGTGTGGATTTCACTTTTGTGGCAATGAGGTCTGTGGATTTGGTGTTATAGACTGTTCGGACAGCTCTGGGAGTGAAGGTCCATCGCCATCTCGTAAACAAACTCGGCCGAAACGTAAAGGTGGCGGTGGAAATGGGAATGTTGGCAGCGGCAGGAGACGGAAGTCTGGAATCTCTGCGCGGGAAAGGAATCTACGGCGATTGGAAAGCAACGAGCGAGAGAGAATGAGGATGCATTCCTTGAACGACGCTTTTGAGGTACGTGCGCAGTAGAGTGTTGAAAAATGAAGTCTTCCTTTCGTGATTCTGTAGTGGTTCATACAATGGAACACAGGTGGAGTTGGCGTTCGGCCTTATATTCCTCGTCTGTTTGTGGAGATGCAATTAGAAGATATAGAAGGCGGTGTTCCTTGATATTACAAGTTAGGGTGTTAGCAAAACCATGTCTGCTAACATGTGTACAGGATTATTGTCGTGAGCTGTGTCACATCTTGATATTTTAATTGTATTCCATGTTGAATTTTCAAATCGAGTGTCGTGTCTAGTTTTATTCACTTCAAGCAGAGGAAAAGTGTTTAATACACACAGTTCAAGTATAGGAGCTTTGCCCCTTGTGTCAGCAAAGAGAAGCTTAAGTACAGACAGTTTCATTAAATATACCGCAAATAATTTACCACGAATATAACTTTTTCGTTGAATATACTTATGTTTTTTTTTCTAGCAACTTCGAGAAGTCATACCACATGTGAAGATGGAACGAAAACTATCCAAAATAGAAACCTTGACACTGGCAAAAAATTATATAATGGCGCTCACTAACGTAATATGTGAGATGAGAGGCGAGGAGAAGCCGTATACGTGAGTTAACTCTTACAGTCAGGATTTAGAGTAAAGTTTCTTAGATTTTTTTCGTTTAGTGATACACGAAAATATAGTTCGTGTTATTGTGTGAATGCATGTATAAAATATCGCATTATTTTTCATAGTTTGAATGAAAATGTTTATAACTAGAGCTTTTGATATGTAAAGTGTTGACTGGGATTTCTGTCCGCCATTTTGTCCAGGTTCCTTGATGTAGACTGCGGTTCTAATTCGAGCACAAATGATAATAATAGTAGTGGTGAACAAGGTCCTGAAGAAGACGTGGTGGAACCGAATAACAATTCTGTGTTCCAAGAAAACTTAGAACATAGAACACTGACAGGGACGCCGAGCGTCCCGATAGAGGACATGTGACGTCTGCCGCGCCTTGGAAAGTTTTCGAGTTTCTATCATCTGTTGAACGTCTCAGGGATTCTTTCTACACTGAATGTGGGAATCCGGACCGGGTGAAATCGTAAGTGCGAAGTTACCAATTTGCTGCTAAAGCTTGCCAAAATAGAAAAAAAAAAAATACGTACAGTCTTATTCAAGATTGTTACCTTCTTCTCCTCGCAATATCTTTCCTGCCGTAGATTAGAATACGTGAGAAAGAAGAAGAAGAAGACACAGCTTGACGAAGAAAGTGAAGGTCAGGGACAAGGAATCTGAAATGCGTTGCGCTTGGTATAAATGATGTGATGTTCATTTTAAGTAATTTTATTTCCAGATGTCCAGAATTGAAGTTCATAATCGCAAGTTCTCGTCCCTTCATTTTATGAATTATAAGAATGAGTTTAATATTGTTTTATGTCGCTTTATGCCATGAAATCATCTTCACTTTGTGCACTGTACATACACGTCAGATGTGCGTATCGTCAGCGTCGCTTTTAACTTGCGTAACTCAGGAAACTCTTTTAATCGTGTTCAGCGTTGAACGCCGAATATCGACAACGTGGCAAGGGACGTAGTTGAGTGGATTTGATTTTCAGTCAGGGTGTCGAAGTTTTTCTTTCTTTTACTTGTACAAATTTTGGAGCATAATTCTGGCACCTTTAGCAGAATAAGACCATCGACCTTTTTTAACAGCCGGAGAATTTTTAGGTGGGGATTCCCCACCTATTCACTTGCGAGCACAAAAACACGCACAGGTCTTCATATAAAGTGTATAATATTGCTGTCGGATCTTATTCAAAACTGGAACATGTCGACAAATTGTAGTGGAACTCCAAAATGTAAAATGTAACGATAATCTGTCCTGTGGTTATCAATTTCTTGCGTACAGTCTGATGGATTGATTTTAATATGCTGTCTGCAGGGACGTGAACTACCCTCGAAAGTTCGTCGCCAGCTCCTGTCATATTCTTTATAATTCATCACTCATCACGCATCATGAATTGGGTGAATTGACGCTGATAGTAATATATTGCGTTAAAAAGCACGTGTCATGTCATATTTCAGTGTACAGTGTATAAAGTGTTGTTGGTTTTGTTATTAAGTGTACCGTAACTAACTGCCTGACAAGTTGACAGGTAATGGTTAGCTGCGCAACGCGCTGGATGTCACATGATGAGAGCTAGACCAATCAGCATCAGTCAAGCTTTGCTATCGCTGCTCTGCGCTTCCTTTCACAAGCGCACTTAGTTGCTAAGTCATATCGTTAAGACACGTGGTGTAGGACTTAAGAACAGCGAAATATGTTAGCAGGGGGAATCTAACTGAAATAAGTAAATGATAATTAATAATGTGATAAGAGTGATAAACATATCTCCTGGTAATTAATAAAACAATCAGTTGCTTGATGTGCTTAGCGTTACAAGACATGACAAATTTAAATGGAGGCAGCTTATAAAAGTTAAGTCTTATAGATCTGTCTGTCTGTGAAGGATTTTCAATGATGAACAATTCTGGTTAATTTATGTTTTTCTTAACCTTCACAGAAAATTACGTTTTGCACATTTTTGTCAGGCTAATTCAACATTCTGTTTTGATCGTTGACAAATGTAAGGACCTGGTGGTCTGAAATAATGTAAGGTCATTAAAGGTGTCATGAAATGGCTGAAAGAAACTTTCTCAATTTGATTCTCTGACCTCAGGATCCAAGATTACCAGAATTAATATCATTAGTACATTTCATATCATATTTATATGATAGATTGTTTTAGTAAAAAGCTGATGTTATAAATGCAAAATATTTTACTACTAAACCGTGGCATTACAGCTCTTTTTTAGGGCCTTGACCTCCTTAAATGTTGTATTCATCTACAAACAAATTAACCAAAATAGAGATAATGGCTTTATGGCACATGGTGGAAACAGAAACCAAATATTATTAATTTAGTGATACATTTTTACAAGTTCTCTAAGAGATATAATTTTTGGTGTCTATAGAATTCGATGTGTCGTTGCATTTTGTCAGGGACACAGGTAATAAGAAAATTTGCAATAAAAATTGTGGAAATGCTCACAAGGATCAAACCCATGATGTAACTGAAAAACATTGAAGCGCTGTACTCTAGATGTTATCTACATACCACTACAACTCTGTATGGGAAAAAGTGGTAACTGTACACAAAAATAACTAGGACAAGTGTAAATAATCCATGATAACCTAATAAGGCCTACTTCTTCTACGGCTCTCCGGTCCGTATTCGGTCCATGGCCTCCTCAATTCTCCTCTTCCATTCAGTCCTCTGTGAGGTCTGTCTGTCCGAGGCTTTGGTTGAGATTTCGAAACATCTTCCTTTTTACGGTGCCAGGTTGTTAGCCTTGCGACCAACCCCCAACCTGGAGGACCAGGGTACCTGTCTTAGTCTGACCTCTCCCCCTCACCCAATCTGGCTAGGGAGGCCCTACCAGTAGCTCTTGGAGTCACCGAGGTACTCAAGCCCCACCACCACGACAAAGTGCAGGTACCATTAAGTGAGGATAAGGCCTACTAGTCCTTCTTAAATCTTATCCGAAGTCAAGGACTCTATTAATACTACTTGTATTATACCTTCATGAGAACCCTTTAGGAGTGATGTGACCATGTCTTCATGTACATTATTTATTATTGTCTCTTCGGTTGACACTATGACCGATGCGGTCGAATAAAATTACATTAACTCAAGAATCAAGCACAGTTGCTCTATATTTTAGGCATATTTTACATCATTCCATTTAGAACATTTTGACTTCTGTAGTTATGTCTGTCGACCTTTGTATGTAATGATTCCATTTGAATGCATTGATTTTTATGAAGTTTGTAATGGAGGTCTTTAATAAAAAGGGTAGTGCCAAATGTTATGCTGGGCGAAATAAAAAATTTTTGGTGGCTATCTGCTGTAAGTTGGAAAGAGATGAACTAACACATTCTTTTTATAGATTTTTATGAATATTGAGGTTAGATTGAAAAATGTTTTGGGCAGATGCCATAGCCTTTCATCAGCTGTATTAGATATGTCACTTTCAGCTGTGAAAACAATCATGAATCTGTAGGTCCTTTGTTTGTCAAGATTTCGGATTTCTCAGACATTTGATACCATATTTCCATATTTATTTATACTTAATATTATTGCCATTTTATCTGTCTATAAACATTGGTGTTATGAAATGAAAGACAAAGAAAGCAAAGAGATTTATAATTGTGGTATTTTTATATTAATTTTATTGTGAATGTAATAAGAAATGTTGAGATGCAAATTTCATTTATTTTCCTTCATATATCTAATATATTTTGAAGATAAATTTATTATTCCTATGATCCTATATATTGCTTATACAGAATACTTTAATCTGATCCTTATTAAGCCTCGCTTTTATAAACAATCCAGAGGAATGCAAGTATATACATTATTTCTTCTCTATTTGCTCAGTCTGAAACTACGTATATGAAGTTATTAATTTTTTAAAAGTAACGTAGTATCAGCACAGATACTGTTTTGTAAGACGTTTGGATCAGAGTGATTTAACTAGTTAAAACAGAAAAGATGTCAAAAAAGAGTAAATATTTCTATTCAAGATATTTCTCTTGAGGTCAGATTTATCACGTTTTATCTGTATAAAAAGTATACATATTATCCTTGAAATTACGTAGTCAGTACTGGCTGGACAACCAAGGTTTGATTCCTGTCACACATGGGTTTTCTCGTCTGCTTCGTCCACACTGTCGCTGGGTACTGAGAACTCTGTCTAGGTAAGGCAAAGTAAAAGGATATTTGAAAAGGTAAGAAGTATTTACTGAAGCAGAAGCATTTAACCCTTTCAGACCCAAATGTAAAATATTTCCTGGACAAGAGAAATATTTATATTATATAAATATGGTATGTAATGTTTTTATCTTCATCTCTTTCACATTTATCCTACTTTTTTCATTCTCCTTACAATCTTCATTCATCTACTCATTATTTTTCTTCCACTCGTTTTTCTTCAAGTCGTCCTCTTATTTGTCTAATTTCTTCTTATGACGTGTTTGATTCAGCTGCATAGTGTTACAATGCAATAAGAAATCACTCCAGACAATTCAGAGTCTGAAAGGGATAGACATAGTTAAGGAAAAACAGTCGTACATGCGTCATGCAGTTCTGTGTACTCCTTTATTCCAGTGATAAAGTGGTTTTTCATAAGTAAAGTTATCTTTACCTCGCCACAGACTATTGAATTAGTGCCAATTTCATGAAATATTGTTCCGGAACTCTTGTTGCATACAGTGTTACCAACGTTCCTTGCCAACCATAGTATAAATATTATTACTGTATCGGATTAGGTTTACATTAAAATACTCAGTTCAGTTGCACTAAGTATGTTGCAATAAAAGCTTGTGTTTGGATATGAAAGAGAACTTCTACTTTTTTTACCTCTCTTTTCCCCTCTTTCTTTTGTCCCAGTAATTTGTCATAGCAGCAGGAAGATAATTTAAATTGTACATTGAAATTGTTATTGTGGCTTACACCTCCCAGATATGACGGCCTTTGACCGAATTTTAAACATGAGCACTCGATTGGTGGAATTTACATTTTTCCTTCAGTGATAAGATGATAATGAAAATGAAGATAATGGCCAGCATACAGGATTGGTAAACTAAAGTTGAATTTGAACCATACTGGGGGCTGGGTGAACCTAACCTAAAGTTCTGAGTTTACCAGAAATTGGTTTTAAACCTGAGACCCACATAAAGGACCAGCAGCTTTCTTTAAGACTGCCTGGTATTCTGATGATAATGTAGAGATGACTGACTGCTGCAGCTGATGACTGTGTATATGTTATGTTAAGAACAAGGTAGATTTTTCATGGTAAGAGGTTGATTGTGAGGCATGGTGAATATAAAAGAACTGTAAATAAACAAAATTTGGTATTTATGAAAATATAATGTAGGTAAAGGTGAAAGCATTGAGCTTATTTAGACATGTGCTTACATTAGAATGACTGTCATTTATTGTTGAAGTATTCTGTTACATAGCATGAAACGTAATAACTGCTTACAGATGTTGAAATACAAATACAGTTGTTATAATACATGTATCATTTGAACAACTGTGCAATCTGACCTTGATACAAGGAAGAGAGAAAAAAATAGATGTTAAAACACTTTTTAGAAAAATATATCTGCAACTTTGTGTGCACCCTGTGCTGATGTGGTATATATAACAAGCTGTTGGTCGGTTGATTGAAGTTGATAGCTGGTTATAATCAATTAAGAAGAATGGTTTTTTTTACACACATTCATATATGAACTGTACCAGGTTGAGGCAAGCTTTTATAAAAGTGTGTAATTTCCCATGATCTGACCTGACGTGCTTGATGCTTACTACAGATTATTTTATTATTGCATGTGATCCTAATTTCATGTAGTAGCGGTTCTTATTAGTTCCACGTAAATATAATCCCCATTCATATGATTACTGTAACTTTAGACAGAAAATGTTGGTATGTAATATATTGTATTTTGCGAAAAACTACGTGACAAAACCGATGAAGGACATTGAGTTTCCTGATTGTGTAGGCTATTATTGTATCTTTGCATTTGTTAACTTTTTGGTGACTCGTCATTTTAATTTTACCGAGTACATTTATTTGTAATGAAACTGATTATGCAAAACTGGGTACTCGTATTTTAAGGTTGGCAATCCCATAAAACTGTACTATGATTGAGGTTTGGGGAATTTTATGTTCAAATATTGCCTGAAATGAAATCGCCATTAGATGCTCTTCCCTCCATTCAGAACAGGTTATGTACACTTTTGAAAGTTGCGTGTTACGATATGTGTTGTGTTACAATCTTCCTCAATCTTGATTGTGTACTATTTTAAGGTAGGTACAATTTTTATTTATGAGGAAATAAGCTTATGAATAACAGATTATGTTTAAAAATCTGAATGAATTGAAATATCTCTAAAAGTTGTTTTAGAAAAAAGAATATCGCTTCACATATAATTAAATGTGAAACAGTGTCTTATTTTAAATCATGGAAAGGTAAACGTACCATACAGAATAAATATTCTAACAGCGATTTTATTCAAAACTCTACTGCTCTTCGTTGTTGATTATCAGGCTTTTTAAATATACATAACCTATAAACGGTGGTGAATGTTGCTGACTGACTAGTAGTGCACTTGTAGAATACCGAAATTGGATTAATGTAAAGAAAGTTTTACTGCATAACAGTAGAATATTATTGTTTCTGATGATGAACTATTCTGTTTCTTTATGGATAAGGAAGTAGGATGTCATATTAATGCCACAGAAAGGATGTGGTTCAATGTTAAAAGTAAGATGCTTCCAAAGTATTGAATTATGGCTTTGTAAATTTATGTATGGATGGAACAGTGTTTAGTTACCACATTTTTCTTACCTTAAACAGTGACAAAGGATGGAATTGTTACACTTTGCATGTGAGTAGCATTTTGTATGTATAGTAGGATAAGTTTGATTATGGTACAAATCATATAAAACTGTAGCATTGAAGTTGGTAGCACTGTGGTTATTACTGATGTTACTGTAGTGCTGAAGAAGCCGATACTAGAGAGTTGTGGGAGGAGGAAATGATGAAAGAAATGAGAAGCTGCCCCTCTTTCTCAAATTTTCATTTAACAGAATGTGTGTTTAAGACCTTTATAGATGCTCAGCCTTTCTCATACTTAAACATTTTCTTACCATAATTGTGAATCTATGTATAGTTGTTCTAAAATGCCTTTGTTTGACTTTGCTCTCAGCAGCATCATGGATGAAGTTGATGTATTAAGTTCAAATCCAAAGTATGCAGAGTCTGCTCATTTGGAACCAAGGAATGGAATATCAGCATTACCTTGTTCTGTCAACAGTACCCTTAAATTTGAGTCACAGAATTTGGAACAAGTGCATGAAAGTGTGTTTAATAATGAAGAACTTAAAAATATCAGAGAGTTGATTCTTACACATACTGACATACAGAATTTACCAAGTAGTTTCACGGCCAACTTGGGAAATCTTATTCGCTTGAATCTTGAAGAAAATAGACTTGATCAGCTACCACTAAATATGAGAAATCTCTTGAAGTTGCAGCATTTGAACATTTCTCATAATTGCTTTAAGGTTTTATCAGAAGAAATTGGATATCTGGTAACGTTGCAGACTTTAAGGTTAGAAAGTAATAGTCTTGTTGAATTGCCAGATAGTGTGTGTAGTCTTGTGAATCTCCGGCAACTTTGCATCGCTAACAACAACCTCAGAATCTTACCAAGTGAAATCAGCAAACTTGTGAAGTTAGAGAAGTTGGATGTTTCTGGCAACATTCTGGAAGATTTGCCGGAATCCATGTCTCAACTTACAAATCTGTGTCACTTTAGTGCTGCATCAAATAAGTTATCATATCTGTCTGAAAGTTTCACTCATTTAAATAAACTTACAACATTAAACCTTTCCTACAATTCAATGTATGAAGTGCCATATTGCCTCTTCACTGGATTACCAAATGTATCAGTATTGTATTTATCACATAATTATATTGACAGTTTTAGTGAAGTACCAAACTGCTCCAACAAACTTAGAAGGTTGAGGCTTGACCATAACTGTTTATACACCATACCTCGTTGGATATTTAGAGATACATGTAAACATCTGTTAGAATTTAACATTTCTCACAATAAATACATGATTGGTGTCAGTAATGAAGTCTTCATTTCTGAAAGTAGTTTGAAGAGTTTAGATCTTTCTGACTGTAGTCTTACAACTACATGTGTCAAATTTTTGCATGGACTGAAAAGTTTGGAATATCTGAACATGGGAAATAGTAAATGTGTGAATAATGAACTAAATGGAAATTCTGGTAATATTTTCTGGGACATACCCATTAGTGAGCTGAGAAACAGCTGCAATCTCCAGGGTTTGATCCTTTGCGGCGTAGGACTGGGAGCTCTGCCGGAAGACATTATCCAGTTGAGTCAGTTACAACACTTGGACTTGTGTTCAAATGATCTTAATTGGCTGCCAGATTCATTTTGTAGCCTAATTCGGTTGAAATCATGCCTCCTGTCAAACAATGCGCTGGAATTGTTACCAATGCAACTAGGAAACTTGGAGGCGCTGAAAGAACTCCGCTTAGATGGCAACAAGGTACGTTTAAGGACCAGAATTATTTGAAATTACGTATGTGTTGTTAGTGTTGTCCAGAATATTTCTTTTGGTGTAGTCTGATTCAAATAGAACACACATTCTGCAGGCTAGTTCTTGAATGCATATATGGTAGTGGTATTTCATCTGTGCCAGACATAACAGTGTTACCACCACGACTCAGTGTCCAGAACCTAATTTGTAAAAATCGGTGAACAACGTGACAGTGAGGCATTTGTTAAGGCTTTAAGGTGGTGAGCCCTGCTCTTAACATCTTGCTTATGTGTAATGTGCTGAGTTTTCAGTAAGTATTGAAATAAAATTAAGAAATTACCCAAATTGGTGGGGGGGGGACAGCTGGGCAGCTGTGACACCTGTTGTGGAGTGTGGAACATACTGAAACCAGGTGAGGGTCAGGTAAGTAATGAGATGAAAAATCAGATGTATTCAATAGAACTTCTGAAGGTTGCCAGGCAGAAATCAGAAGAGAGCATCATGAAGCCATAGTGACTGTTCTTTATAGTTCCAGTCTGATTGGTCTCAAATAAGTGAATTATTTGCTACTAGGAATAGAATGCTTGCGTGTTGAGTTTCAGAAACACATTAAATTATTTAAATTTGAGTATAGTTTTCATTGTTTAAGTTTGTAATTAGGTATCAGCTGAATTTTGTGAGGTTATATCTGTCGTTCTTATAAGTTATTGCAGAATGCTTCCCATTTCTAAATATTAGCTCATAATAAATGTGATATGCTTAGGATTAGTAAATTGAAATGATCATAATTGGTGGTAGTAATTCTGTTACCTTCACCCAAACTGGTGAGACCCATGCTTTTTAGGTTAGGATAGAATTTATACCTTGTTTCTTATTAGAACAGTGACACTGAACAGCTGTCTTTGCATCATGTTCCCAATTTTATTATTTTGTGATGCAGTCTCATATATGTCCCAGTAAAGCTCAAGAGAATGAACAGAACTGTTCTTAAAAAAATATTGTGTCCAAGTGTGTAATGATGCATGTCACTCTTTATAATTAGGTTTTCAAAAATACAACTTGTATCTTGTAGCCACTTTTATCCTTCTCTGACAATGTTGCTGGCTGTACTTCAGCTTCAGGGTTAATGGATTGGCGGTATATTATACCTGGTACCAGTCATTATTACGTGTACCAGAATTTGTATGAATGGAAAGCGGGAACAGTAATATTATTAATATCAAATCATATTGTTTGTTTTGAGTCTCTGTTTTTATGTTATTGTATATCACTTTCAGTTTATACATTTTTTTCATTATAGCTTTATTCATTGCCAGAGAGTATGACAAGACTTGAACAACTTGAAATTCTGGATCTTTATGGTAACACATTAGAAGAAGTACCAGGAATCTTGAATAATATGCCCAGTCTTAAAGGGCTGGATTTGGAATACAATTGCTTTGATGTATTAAAATCTCTAAAGGGTGACAACTTCTTAGATAAATACATTTATATGAAATGTAATATACGATCAAGACTGACATCGATCTATCCACCAAGGATGGATTGTGAGAGGCCACCACTGGATTGTGATATGTGTCTTTCTGGAGGTATGATTTTGTTGATAATGATCTAGCCATTTTTCTTCAATTATTATGATCATGTGCATTGCCTGGGGTCTGAATGTGGCAGGCCTGCGTGTCTTATGGCACTGTCTCACACTCTGAACATATATGTAATGCCACTAACTTTGGGCATTCGTTACGTGCTTAATTTTGGGTTCTAGCAACCTGCCTACCCGACCAAAGCTAGAGAAAATGGATGAAAGTTGCATTTTATAGCCTAAGTGAATTTGGGTCGTGGCTAACAGGTTATGAAAGTTGTCAGTTTCTAGAACTGCATATGATATTCAGGAATGCATGAGCAATACAGTTTTAATTTTGTTTATTTATGGTGATGATGATAATAGGTTAGGGATACAGATTATGAAGCTCCTTATCATGCAGTTTTCTTCTTCCCTCAGTTACTTCTCGTTTAGATCCAATATTCTCTTCAGTGCTCTTTTCTCAAGTAACATCCTGAATATGTATTCTTCCCATAGGTCAGAGGCCTAGTTTCATACCCATATAGAAGAATGGGTAAAATAATGGTTTTGTGTATATTATTGTTTAGGGTTTAGGTGGGAAACGATTTAACTTTGTCGTATTTTCAAAGAATTTTTTAATTGTTTTCATGTTACAATATTTTATATATTCCAGATGATAAAAGTTCAAATACTTTTGATGAAGAAGTAGAGATTGAAAACATTCCTGATGAAAATGACAGTCATTCATACGTATGCAAAGAAGAAGAAGAAGAAGAAGAAGAAAACTGGGATGCCACAGATGAAGTCAATGACAACTTTGATCCAACATGTAAGCCTGTTTGTTCTTCGTGCGTAGATTGTGTTGACTATACATTTGCTCCATATTAATCTTTCACTGCCTTTGATGTATGTGATAGGCCCAGTCAACCAGTTCGTTACCACAACCTCACTTGAGGCTTCACCTATGACCCGGTAGTTGCCTGCACTCAGAACAGAGACATCGCTGTAACAGACCATAATTCTTTCTACATGACCTTCATCATGAAATGTTGTGTTGCTATGCTTCAATTCTCTTTTGTACATTTTACTTTATGCTCGTAAATGTTCACCCATTTCTTCATTGCTTTTTTCTTATAGTCCATCACCTCAGATTTGAGATATATGTGTTAATGTAGAATGGTTCTTTTTCAGTTTTACCCCTGTCTCCGCGAAAGAAAGTACAGCATCACCGTGCACTCCTCGTGATGGATTCTCTCATTTCTTCTTCAGACAATTTCTGCCCCGCAGACATTCACGTTCCTCCAGTGAAAACTTTTCCGAGGCCTAAATGCGCCTCGAACTTGTCATTTCAGGCAGTTGAGGGACAGTTCGATGATGTATCCTCTGGATAATAAAGTTCACTGATAACGACAGTTGAGATATAGGCATGTCTGTTGTAATTTAGTCGTATTCCTTCAGGAGTGTCTTATCTCTTGTATTTATAGACTTATCATTTTCTGTCAGTATTTTCATGGAAGTCAGGATATAGCTGTTACAAAGACAGTACAAAGCACCGATCATAACACACTTAAAGTATGAGAAACATGTAAGGAGCTGTCTCTGCATTCAGTGCATTGAATCGTAAATACGTCAGAACGTACTTGTATACTATATCCTGTACGCAATGTAATCACCTCCGAATCAGTTTTCCAGTTGACGAAACAGACTGTTAATTGTGGTACTGTAATTGGCTGTGTTCAGATGGCGTGACAACGCTGTGGTTTGTTACGGTATCTGTACGTTCAGACAACCGTCACTAAAGCAGCTTCTTCACCAAAGCATACAGAACATAATCACTTAAGTATTGGATCAGGGATAAGGAAGATATGCCAACTATGCCCTGCCTTATACTGCATCATCACAATGATAATGGGGATCCCTAATTTTAATGTAGGAATATGTCACTCCAATGATTTTGATAGCGACACAGGACAGGTTGCATCTTAAAAACTGTAAAGTTGTTGTGACATGTGGCATGATATATGTTTCTTGTGCTCTCTTTATTGTGTGAGTTGTTGAGCCAAGCGAGCTTAGTTTGGGCTGAACAGGATTTGATTCCTGATGAGGGTAGGGACTTACCATTTTCCCATTGTGTCCACGAGTAGCTTTCTCCCCAGGGATAAACCGGCATGCCATAAAATAAATTGGCAGTATATGTCTGTGTTTTATTTATTAAGTTTTATCTTTTATTAGAGAAGGTATTGGTTTGTTGTACCGTTATGTAGTGCTAGAAAACAGTCCCTCGAAATTGGTAACCAATTTTATTGTGGTTAGTAATAAAACTGTATCAAAATATGTAAGCTTTAGAAATGAAAGACATTTGATACTATTCTGGAAATTATCCATTTTATCTGAGCTGGAAATGGGATGGCATTATTTACCTGGAGACATGAATGTAGAAATTACATCAGTATTATATTTTTGCTTGTAATTTATGTGTTGCAATAATATGATGTACTGATACAGCATATTGTAACTTTTTTATGAAACAAGTCTTGGGTGTTGTGTGTTATGTTTGTCATACTGTCTTTCATAATTAAGGGATACTTCTTCTTCTTCTATGGCTCTCCAGTCCGTATTCAGTCCATGGCTTCCTCAATTCTCCTCTTCCATTCGGTCCTCTGTTAGGTCCGTCTGTCCGAGGCTTTGATCGAGGTCTCGAAACATCTTCCAACCCCCAACCTGTAGGGCCAGGGTACCTGTCTTAGTCTGACCTCTCCCCCTCGACCAATCTGGCTAGGGAGGTCCTACCAGTAGCTCTTGGGGTCACTGAGGTACTCGAGCCCCACCACCACGACAAGGTGCAGGTACCATTAAGTGGGGAGTTAAGGGATACTATTACTTCAATTTTTTATTTTTGTTTCTGTGACTAAGTCTTGCACTATCTGTTTATTAACTTAATATTAGAATTATTGTAAAATAATTGTTATTTTATGGTTTCAGTACACTGAGAAGAGACTTTTTCTCTCCCCTTCGCAAAAGAAACTGTTGTGGAAGGCCAGAACCATATCATTTTTGTTGGTGAATTTCCTAGTTATTTTGTTTTATTGGTTCATCTTTGTTAGGCTGTTTCATCAATCAGGGCTCGTAGACTGCCTGGTGGAAGGTGAAATTATGAATTGCTAGGTTTACAGCATCCTGTGTGTGCGTATTATTTTTAGTTATGCTGCTGTGGCGTGCAGGTGGCTTGATTTTTTTATTGGCTGCATGTGATAAGTGTTCTTTGTTACTGGTTCTGGTTGATCATCAGTAAAGTCTTCCCTGTGTAAAAATATGAAAATCGTACCTGTTGTAATGGTTGTAGTGTTTCGTCCAAATAACTCAAATTAACTTTTATATGTCGAGAAACAGCACACATTGAACCTTTTTTTTATTTGTAGTGTTCTGTCTGACGACAGGTCCATATATTATGAACAGGATCCTTCCAACCTCTTCAGGTTGTCAGGGGCCTGCTCATACATATATACATTCTTGGCAGAGATGATCAGAAGTGGTTTGCCATTGCCTTCTTCTGTGTGTGAGTGGAGTAATTGTTGGGATGCCACGGAGAAACCGGGGAAGCCCCTGGAGGAACACTCCGTGATGCCTAGACCACGGCCTTGCCCAACACAAGTTATAAATTTGAGCACCACCGGGAATTGAACCCGGGACCCCAGGCTTACAAGGCTAGTGTTCTGACCGCTAGACCACCGTGGCGAACATTGAACCTTAGGGCACAAATATGATCACCTCAGAGGAAACTGATGTTGCATTACAGTGGAAGAATTTAGAACTCGGGAAGTCGTTTTTATGCAAAGAAGTTAATCTGCAAAGTTAATGTAAATTTCAGGGAAGTTGATTAGATTAAGTGCTCCTAGAATTTTTGGCAATTTGTCCAGCACTGGTTAAGAGTAGCTGTACTAATGGAGGGTGATGGATGCCAAGAAGGATGCAGTAGATTTGTTCATAGTTAAGATCAAGAAATAATTAGAATGGTCCATTCACAACAATAATTGTTTTTGAAATAGTTTTCACACCACCAGGCCGCTAAATCTTTACTTGACTGTGCCGAATTACAAGATGTCTGGTGACTACAGACACAGCCAGAAACCTACGATGTACTTGTCAGATTTCAGATGGCACATAAGTGTAAGGCATTAAACATAAACTGAACCACTGAAGAAGTATTTTACTTTATTTCTGATTTACTAGGGTTGGCCGTTTAAAAAATAATGGATTATTTGTTAGTTAATATTTTTCTTTTACTGCCATTTTAGATGGAACATCTGACGGACTATTGAGAAAAAACAGTTTTGATAAACGTAGAGTGAGTGGTATATTTTTAAATTTAATAAAATGTGCCACATGGCAGCTTTGTTGACTGCTGTTGTAGACCATAAGGAAGTACTCAGTCTGGCGTCTTCTTTATGAGCAAATTCCTTACAGATGGAGTAAAGCACATCATGGTTTCATTAGCAGATAATATTTATGGACAAAAGTGACTTCATTAGTTCAGCATAATTTGCAGAATTTTGAAATTCATGTGTGAAGTGTCAGTTATTTTCATACAGTCTTTGCTATTTTTTGTATCAATTGAAGGTCATTAACTGTTTGCATTATGTAATTGGTACTGTGACATCTAGTTTTTCTGTTAACAGAGTGTGAGACAGAATATACAGGAATAAGCTTGTTATCAACAAGAGAGGATAAAACAGTTGATAAAAGTTTTTTAAAATAAAAACAAAATTATCTTTATTGGAGTTGTTCCTGTGCAGAAAGTAGGCCACATGAACATTCGTTTGAAGTCTGAATGATGTAATACTGTAGGCATGTATTTTGATATTTTATGCATAGACATCTTGTGAGTAGGATACAGATGATTTACCTGCATCCATTAATCCTTCTAAAATATGTGGTGGACAAAGCTGCTTGGAGGACTGCTGGAAATGCTTGCTTACAATTCAGTTCAGAATTCTCATGTCCCATCTAAGAACCAAACTATTTTGCCTGCTTTGTATGGGTGTGAAACGTGATTTCTCATTATAAGGGATATAGATTGAGGGTATATAAGAATAGTTATGAGGCAAGTATGTAGACCTGAAAGGAAGTACACAACAGAAAGACGGAGGGAACTGCTTAATGAAGAACTTCATCTGTACTCTGCCTTATATTACTAGGATAAAAATGTGTAATGAGGAGCTTCATTATTTGTTTTATATACCAATCAGTATTAATACTAAATCAAGGCATATGAGATGTACAAGACATGGTGCATGCATGTGGGTAGTGGAAAATGCATATAAAGATTTGGTGAGGAAAAGAAAGAGACTTTTTTGAAGTGTGATATATTGAAAAGTAATATTACAATTTATCTTTTGTTATTCCAGGGGGAGGGGCTATCACCAAATTCATGTGGGTCAGGATAGGGGCCATTCGCGGAGTCCTGTGAACACGATAACAAACCTTAAGATTCCATAATAGTAGAAATTTCGTGACTCTTGTACGAATCTTAAAACTTTGCATACCGTGCAGTGTTTTTCTAAAACATATAAAATCATGCATACAAACGAAACTGTTTACACGAATGTCAATGAATACATAATTCAGTCATATCAGGGCATCTACTTGACCGGTCAGGAAACATTTAAAGTTTTATCGAGACAAAAGTTTGTCGTAACACTTAAATGGTCTTCCCCATTGATATCTGTATTCTAAATCCCCAATACATCACGGACGTGGTAGTTATATGAGAGTATAATTTTTGCAGGGGACATTTGAATGACAAACCAATAAATGCAATAAAGCTAGTGGCAACATGTACGCGTATGGTTCGTATGTTTGGCGTGCGATTCGGCAACGTTCCCATTTTAACCAAGGACATTAGACAAAACGACCTTTAATCTGTTTGTCAGACTTGTAAGAATTTGTATGCCAAGAGCATAACGCCAGTCATTCGAAGTTGGTGTTCTGGAAACGTAATATTTTTCTTAATCTCTACCATGGCAGTCGTATATAGTGCATCGAAATTATTTGTTGGGCGAATCCAGGGTTTTTCTAGAATAGCAGCATCCTGCGCGAAATATGCCAGCACCAGTACAGGTAAATATGCTAGTAGTGTTTATTTTGTAATAAATGCTAGCCAGTGTGAGGAATCTACAGCCCATCCTCATGACACTGCTTACAATTATAATTGTAGAATGTTCGTAAACAGAAGTAATTTGTGTTGCTCCAACATTTGAAACAACAGTGTAAAACTATTTTGTTGTTTTAATCCAAATTTTTATCCGATGCCATTGTCCACATTCCTGTTACCAAGAGTTCCATGCCCTTGAAAAAATACTTCACTTGTGTCAATAGATCATGTACAGTTATCTCAATGTTAACCTTTCATCACACCATTCCAACCTCAAATACATTTTATATTAACTTATCTCGGTAACCTTCATTAACAACTGAATTGGTCCATTGTAAGGATTTACCATTTTCAGGTATCAGTTCTCAAATCAGAACAGTGTTTGGACTACTAGTGAAGCTAGCCAATTCTAGAGTCTGTACAGTAACAAAAATTTCATAATGCTTTATCTTTTCTTAGCTCCTAAAGCTGATCCAGCATTTCTCATTGAGTAAAGTTACTTGCTAGAGAATTCCTACTCTCATTACTGTCTTTTGTTGTGGACAATGTGGAGAAGTTCTCTGGAACAGCTTTACCTTTAAAAATTAATGGAAAATTAGGAGAACTATCTTTGTTAGTATGTACCAAATTATAGGTTAAGAATTAAACATAACATATGTGAGTCATATACTTATACTGTGATACATAACATTGTATTATCTAATTCTATATCCTATTCATATATCTTTGTTTTACAGCATCCAGTTATGAGTTTATTGTCTTAGAGACAAAGGGGGAGAAGAAGAATGTTGGACTTATTACATTAAACAGGCCTAAAGCTCTGAATGCACTGTGTGATGGCTTGATGAGAGAGGTTGGTGATGCAGTGGATAAGTTGGAAAATGATGATAGTGTTGGGGCTCTTGTCATTACCGGAAGTGAAAAAGCATTTGCTGCAGGTAAACAGGCAATTTGATTGTACAGGGACAGATTGCAGATGAATTCTTACCTTAAAATGTTGACATGTTGGTACATGCGTAGAAACCCTTTGTCACAGTTCATGTAACTTGATGTTTTTCTTTATATTTTACGTAGACATAATATATGTATTTCACTTCTCCTTTTTCTGAAGATGGCAGAATTTTAATTCTTAACTCCATGAAGTAGAGTCCATAGAAGCTGATTGCCAATTAGATGGTCAAGAATTTGCCATTGGACCTTATCCTGAGTCAGTTGAATCCAATCAGTTCTCTTGCACTGTATTTATTCAGAATCTGTATGACGTCAGGGTAAGATACTGGACTCTCATTCAGAGGTTCAGGGTTTGATCCCTAGTCATGTATGTATGCAGATTTTTTCTGCTTACAGCCAGAATCCAAAGATAAATCTTTTGGAAGAAAGTGAAGTATACCAGGACCCCACCATGGTTTGGACCCTACATTTAACTGGAAGTCTCCTTTGCTGACCATCTTCATAATGCATTCACTGACGGTAACAGAATTTGCGCGAACTTAGATATGGATTCTAGATTTGCCTATGGTTGGCAAAGGCCAGGAAAGGTCCATGTCTGGGGGAATTTAATTGTAACCATTTTAATATTATCCTCCTGTCTATTATTAGGTCTCCAAAGAGGTGTGTTCTGTTCAGGTTTTCCAACTAAAATTTTGTTTGCATTTCTCACCTCTCCTATGGGACTTTTGGTTTGAAGATAGATTGTGAAAATACTTACAAATTTTATATGAAACTCTATTCTTAGGCATAACAAAGTTCTTTCTAGAACTTCTTGTTAATGTGTTATGTTGCTTTGAAACCTAGGAGCCGACATAAAGGAAATGCAAAATAACACCTTTTCAAAGAATATAAGAGGGAGTTTTCTGAGCCATTGGAATCGAATTGCTTCGTGCAAGAAGCCCGTAATAGCAGCTGTCAACGGATATGCCGTAAGTAATTGCCCTAACTGTATATGAAGAATTATCTAGTGCCGTATTTCAATGTGATTTTTTGGATAGGCTGACTAAAATGTAACCTGGCCAGTCTGAAAAAAATTGACATTTTCTCACTGATGATTACTGTGTGTGCATGTGAACGTTGGTTACATTTTTTCCCCCTTAAAATGTCAGGTTTTACAAAAATTCTTTTTGAAAGGTCAAAATAATTTCTTTCCTCCAGTTTTTGCTTGCTATTGCTGAGATTTTTCAGCACAATCATAATTTTCAGATTTTTCGTCAAAATCAGTCAGTTTTTCTACGCATGTTAAGTTGAACTGCTGAGTTTGAGACACTTCACTTAAGTCACTTGGCATGTACTGGAGTTCAAATGCCACGGTTGGTATAATTTTCAGTTGGGAGGAGGATGTGAATTGGCCATGATGTGCGACATCATTTATGCAGGAGACAAGGCTAAGTTTGGGCAACCAGAGATTGCGATAGGAACAATCCCAGGTGCGGGTGGCACCCAGCGGTTGCCACGATACATTGGCAAGTCCAAGGCTATGGAGATAGCGCTCACAGGAGTTCCTATAACAGCACAGGAGGCTGAGAAAGCGGGTGGGTGTTACGTTTACGTTTCATAGCCAAGATAAGTTTTGGTGGGGAAATACAGCGACGTTTGATGTCTTCATGGCAGTGAAGTTGTTGCTGTTGGTCTGCTGAATTTAATGCATTGTGGACTGTGGGCAGATACCGACATTTCAGGGGAACATACTGCATCCATCTTCAGGGCTGATTTTTCAAATGACTGTTGAATTAATTAGGTAGAGAATTTTAGAATTATCCAGTTACTTGTAGCACTCGTTCGAAAAGTGTGCAGAAGTATCAGAGAAGGTTGTGTATTGTTTTTTGTGTTTACAGTGTTTTAGCTTGTTATTTTTTCCTTAATATGTTGTTTGCAGACAAAATGAAAACGATCCATTGTTTTTCCTATTTCTCAGTCTTTGTTTCTTTGGTATAAACAGTCACACTACTATTTCCTTTGTTGCATTCGTATACATAAAGACTTTTTTCTATTTTTGTCTATCATGTTTTGTTCTTTCCCGTCCTCTCTTTATTCATTTTTTTCTGTTGTTCTGTACCATTTTAATTTTTTTACACTAGTATTTTTAGTTCCACAAGCAATGGAGTGATTTGGAAAACTGTTTAAGGCGGCTGTTTGCTTTGATTGTCTGCCGTTGAGAAATTGTTTTGGAAATTTCAGGTGACTATATTATTTTTGTGCAGGGCTTGTGAGCAAAGTCATTCCAGCTGATCAGCTTGTGGCGGAAGCAGTGAAACTTGGAGAAAAAATCTCATCACATTCCCAACTGATTGTTGCTCTTTGCAAAGAATCTGTTAATACAGGTACGTATTATTTGGTAGCAATTTTGGATTCATAATTTGTTGGCGTGTAATAGTTCTCTAAATATGTGTGACATTTGTTGACACATCACAACAAAGCTTTTGATCACTGCCCATTGTTTTGAGCTATATTTTCTAAGAAAGAAATTGTTCTTATCTGGTCTGAAAGGGATTTATCCTGCTACTTCTAGGGTTACGTTTATCGATGTTTAGAGCCGAATTAGTTCTTAGTTTATATTACACTTATAATTTATTTTTGCTTGCGGTTGTTTGTATGTTAACGTGTAACTTACACTGAATTAAAATAATTTGTTTAGTTTGCTTCAGATTTGAAAGGAATGTTAATTTTAATTTATGTTAATGTACCAAGTTCAGAACAGAAGTAATAAGGGTTAAAATGTGTGAATTGCTCAGTGCCTCTTAAGGCCAGTGGTTGATACCACTTTTTATTTCTTTACAGCATTTGAAACTCCATTACAGGAAGGACTTCATTTTGAAAAGAGAATATTCCATGCTACATTTGCTACTGTAAGTTTGTTTTTTGACTGAATTTAGGAACAGAAACAGTTTTTTGAAGAATATATACTCAGTACCTCTAACATGATAAGCCATTTTGTGTTACTTGTGCTGAGATAATTTAGAGGGGTTTGTATAATTGATATATTTATATAACGCATTTTACATTGAAAGGATTTATGATTGCCTTTTTTTTGTATTTTTTGCAGGAAGATCGTAAGGAAGGCATGGCTGCATTTGTTGAGAAGCGTTCGCCAAATTTTACCGGTAACTGAAGCGCAGATATTGAGAATGAACTGTACGGAACACCAAGTTTGTAAGTATTGAAGTCAATCTGATTAAATAAGTGATTTATAATTTTTCTCTTTAACAAACTGTTCAGCAGACACTGAGTGTAAAATTTCAACAGTAAAATAAAATTGTTAAAAACCTGGATAAACCTTTGTCTTCCAGCTTATTATTTATTGATTCTTTGTAGATGTACATGCTTTAAATGTTGTTATAAATAACCACGAAGTATTAATTTTAATTTCTGTTTTTGCAGGTTCGTAATGTGGCATTATATGTACCTTGAATGAACGCAAGAATGAAAATAGGTTGAACTAACACAGAATAAACAACTCTATTAAGGTTTTGTATTATTTTGAGAGAAGACTTTTTGATTCTGAAACTTTGTATGTATAACTTTAACTCTTATATAAAGCAACTGCTCATACTAATTCATTGTTGACATTATATTGCCTGCTGCCATTGTTCTGTTATGTTTAGTCCTTTGACTGAGGACATGACAAAATGTGGAATATTTGTAGCCTCCTCCTTGCCATGTATATTGAATATACTGTGCTTAATCCTTAAACATGCAAGTTATTTTGTGCGCTAAACCATTGGCTTACTTTGACAGCTTCAAGACGTCCACATCTTCAGGTGACATGCTATCCTGATGGCTGTGAAACATGGCCAAGAGAAAGCAAAAAACAGCATACTTACTGAGGACAAATGTACATGTAGCTCTCTGTTTTTCTAGAAAGGAAGTTAGTTGCTCTGTTTAGATCTGCTAGATAATGGGGTGACATTTTTAAGTATTTATTTCCATAAAGTGTAATTAATCTATTGGTATTAATGGAAATTAGAAATGTGCTTAAAATCAGTTAGGATATTACTTTGCTTATTTCATTAGGCACCATTATGTATAGTAAGAAAAATGCTGAGTACAGTAGAACAGTAGATGATAATTCTTACATGTTTTTTTAGGCAATTTGAATTTTTGAAATCAAAATGTGTTCCACCAAGTTGTCAACTTATAATCTCTCATCTCATAACTTTCCCATCCCAGTTGCTATGAACAATAGGCTTAAAATGACATACCATTTTCAAATATGAGCGTAGGTGTGAAATAAAGTATATTTCAAATACTGTTTATTTTGTTAAATATAACACAAGGTAAGGCAAAGTATGACAGTGTTACAGACGTTGCATTAAATCCTGATTATTTACTGTTGCAAATTGGGGAATAACAAAAAAAGGTGCGTAAGCGTAGTGATTTAAGGAATACCAACAATTGAGAGTTCGACTACAGCATAATATTGCTGATTACCGAAATGTGTCGTGGTATGCTAATGACTAAATTCATGTAACAGATTTTATTATATTTGAACACACCGTGCTTAATATAACCTTATGTAATAAAACATCCTGGAAACAACCGAACGGGAAGCATACATATGTTTTTCTTTTTGTGTTGGTGATCGCACTGCAGATGACCATGATTATTTCCAATGAATCACGTGCTGAATGTTTGTGGCGTTCAAGAGGAGTAATGAGTATTGTTTTGCGTGGTCATAAATGAAGCATATTTAACTCCATTCACTGGCTTTAAGAGTGATATCTTTGATTGAATATATATTTTCATGCAAGTCCATTCCTTCAAGCACGAGAAATGTGTTTATGAGAATATCTGGAAGAACAGCGACATTTTGTAGTGTTAATAAAAAAATGAGAGATAGATCATATTCTAGTTCTGGTGAAGAGGAGCCTTTAATTCGAAATCAAAATAAAATTATTTCGTATGGTGCACAAGAAAACTGTCCATCAGGGGTGAGTTGCTTTATCGGTTTTTAGGTTAGGAGGGATGTCAATTTCATGACAGTAGGTATTATAATAACATTCATTTTATTGTGGTTAAAAGTCCAGAAGATGTAAGGAATTGTGTAACATACAACTTATAAGAAATATATCACAATTCTCCAAGTTCATTAACAATTATGAATAAGAATGCAACTAGTGTGACCTACCTATTCCTTTGATTTAATTAAATCAGATTATGTGACTACAAAACCAACCAATTTTAAAAAAAAATCTACTGCAGGTTTAGCAGTAGTTTCATGATTTTACTTCGATTATAATGCCTCAGTGCTTGATAGGATGGGTGTGTGATTATGTATGTTGGTATAATTAGCTTCTTTGTCTACCTAGTTATGTTACCAGTGTGGCCTCAGATAAGACATTGAATGATTGTGCCTGTTTATTTTTTTATAATTGTTTGTTAATGTTCTCAATTGCCTCTGTTAAGGGTTCAACATCTATAAATGCTGATCCAGTGATCTTGGCCAGTAGTGAATCCCAGCTGCCAAAGGGAAAATATGTCTTAGAGACTGTTGAACATGGCTCCCTTAATGTAATCTCAGCAAAATTTGAGGTATGTAGTAGGTTTTACTGATGTTATATATGTAATTATATTCTTATAGTAAAGTGACTAATTTTGGACTCAATGATCAGGGTTGGACTTAAGGTGCAATCAAGTATTTTTCCGTTTGCTACTTAATTTGGACTGGCTCTGGGACCTGTTGAGCTACCCATGTCATGTGTGCTGAGGTTAGGAATATGGGAATCATTATTGTCAGTCCTATACACTATGTCATGGTGCTGATGAACAGGGTAACCTCATCTTTGTCTTCATGTTTGTTGTGCATTAATAAAATCAGTGGAAAATTAAGTTATCTTTTGCTGTATATATTTACAGAGCCTGGATTATGACATTTGTGAGAATCATCTCCTGCTGGAAGAGGAACGAACGAAAGGATATAAATTTATTGTAAAGAAGAATTTTGCAAGATGGTTCATATTCTTGTTGATCGGAATGCTGACAGCTTTAATCGCATGTGTCATCGATATAACCATCGAGGAACTGTCACATATTAAATACAAGAGTCTCAAGAATTGTATCCTTTACACTACCACAATTTGTATACGTGGTTAAGTTTGTTATTGTGTGTGCTAGTAACTAGGGTGATTATCAAAGATTCAGTAGGAAGGGCATGTAGTATACATCCTCCTTTGCAATCATCATGTGTTGATAGCAGAATTTATTTCATAGGTACCTTAATATTGAGATAAGACAGAAGCCAGGAAGTTTGAGAAAACGGTTGTTGTTTTTGCGAAGGTTGGGGACTTGAGTCCGTGTGGAATTGCACAGGCCCGTTGTGTCCTGCCCCATATAATACCGAAGGGAAAATTGAGCAGCAGTGGAATGCTAATTGTACAGCCTCTGAGGAAATCGTAACTTATAGGCATTAATTACAATACTGTTTATAGATTTAAAGATCTTCCTTAACGTTGTATAAGATGTGGATCGATGCATTAGTGAAAACTGTTTATATATACCATATTTGATCTGGGTCATCTCCAACATGATTCCTGTTGCCATTGGTTCCCTTTTGGTGGCGTATGTAGAGGTAAAGTGTGTATTGGAATGACTAGTATGTTTTTCAAGTAAGATAACTGTATTAAGTAATTAACAAAGAAACTACTGTCTGCTCTTGTAACAGTACAGCGTACTGGCAGCATTCTTGATAAACAGCGTAGATATTTAGTGATTTTATTGTTTCAGCCGATTGCCGCAGGAAGTGGCATTCCCCAAGTAAAATGTTACCTAAATGGAGTAAAGATGCCGCGTGTAGTTCGGATCAAGACTCTCGTTGTGAAGGTGATCGGGGTTATCTCTTCTGTTGTTGGTGGGCTTGCTGTTGGAAAGGTACGCTCGTAATACTCCAAGACTGGTTCTTATTCAGTTTATGTAACTTCATTGTCTGTGGCATTATCAGTGACAAAAATGGATCAGCATGGGCTGGGATTGAACTGATTCAGAGTAGGGTGAAAAGGCAGGATTTTGTGATTGTGTTTTTGAATATTTAGATTCCATAAAAATAGGGAGTTCCTTCACCAGCTTTTTAGGAAGATTCTGCACTGGTGTTAAGTAGTTAGTACGAATTTTGTCGTCAATAGGAAGGCCCAATGATCCATTCGGGAGCTGTTGTTGCAGCTGGCATCTCACAAGGGAAAAGCAGTACATTTCGCCGAGACTTGAGGATCTTTAAGTATTTTCGTGAAGACCACGAGAAACGAGATTTTGTGTCAGGTGGAGCTGCAGCTGGAGTTGCAGCTGCATTTGGGGCCCCAGTGGGTGAGTTATTACAAATCTATATAAAAATGCGGACCCAATTAATATCTTGCCTGATTGATTTTTTTCCTCTCGGGGTTATTATGTTGTCACAGATTGATTCTTAAATGATGATCTGCAAGCTTAGCTTTCATCATTATTAATTGTCATTTTCATCAGGGTGACGCATCTTATGAAAAAGTGTATTTCATTCTTCTTTGTCGTCCCATAAATGTCAGACTCGGGGCTTGTTTTAGCTCCACGGAGAATTTAATTATGTGTATTATTCATCGTGTAGTGAATGTGAAATAATTGCTAAAAATACTTTTTTACTGGGGCAGCCATCAGAGCACTTACTAATGTTTCAGTGAAAATGTTATAAATTCCTGCATCTGAAAAATTCAGGTTTCTGAAGCAAGTTATATTCTGTTTAACATTTATAAACCGTAATTGGTAATTTGTTATGTGCTTGTTGTAGGTGGTGTCCTGTTTAGTTTGGAGGAAGGAGCAAGTTTCTGGAACCAGAGCCTGACTTGGAGAATCTTCTTTGCATCAATAATCTCTACGTTTACCCTGAATGTAGTGTTAAGCTCCTACCATGGCCATCCAGGGGACCTCTCGTATGCTGGACTTCTAAACTTTGGAAAATTTGAGAATATCTCGTATGATTTCTTTGAGCTACCCATATTTGTGATAATGGGTGCAATTGGGGGACTTTTAGGCTCCCTTTTCAACCACATCAACTACAAACTTACAGTATTCAGGATGAGGTATGTTGTCTTTTCACTTATGGGACAATAAACTCTCCATTGCAACGTTTAAACATTTTGAAACGACAGTCAATAAATCAAGATTATCTGCACAAGGAAATTAATAGAAACTAAAGTTGTGAAAATTATTTTTGCTGTTCAGTTCAGAATCTTTTATTTTTCTCTGTAAAAGTGTAAAAATTAAAAGGTACCAAACTATAATTTTATGTCATCGGGTTGTATGGGTGTCAGATTCGGTCTCTCACTCTACAGGAAGAACATTGAGAGAGATTGGGAAAGGAGCTGAGTAGAATTTCTTGATCTAAGAGAGAAGAAGTAGCAGGAGCATGGAAAAAGCTTACGTATCGGGAGCTTTATGATTACGGTTTTTCACATTTTATTATCCAAGTCCTTTGTTCCCCAAATGTTAAATAGGAATTGTACTGCCATCCATTAAAGTCCAGTAGTTACTATATTTATCATGGGCTTTAATAATCAGTAGCTCTTAATTTTACGCACAGAGTATATTTGTTTTGTATGATTCTTAGCATAAACTGTGATTATTTCCTAAAACGGCATTGACCAGTTGATTTTGTAATGAGACACTTTGTATTTTCTTTGAGGTGGGCACTGATATTTAGATGAACTTTGGCCTCGGATGGTTAATCACTTATTGTGCCCATTTCTATAATTCTGACTGATTTTCCTGAGCTTAGATGTACCATTTTAGGATTTTATTTTCTGTGTCCTCCAGAAATATCCATGCTCGATGGATGAAAGTGATGGAAGCTGTGATGGTTGCGGCATTTTCGGCAACGCTTGGCTTTGGGATGATGTATTTCCTCAATGACTGCAAACCGCTAGGACAGGATCCAACCAGTAATCCCATTCAGGTGAGAAGAATACTCATAGTATGAAAGATAAAAGAGCGGGAATAAATTAATCTTTGTAACTTGATAAATTTGTTTGTAGGACAAATGTTATGAAACTTTCACCATGTGAGAGGAAAGTCCTTTTAATACTTGTTGCATTTTGTTACTAGTACATGTTAAAAATATATTTTTGAAGATAACCATCTTTTGAGATGTTGCGCCATGTACTCTCTCAGAAATTGACTGACATTCAAGGGTGCTTACTGCCTCCATCATCATGCCATCATCCAGTTCTTGCCTTTGTACACGGTATCCGTAAGATCTATGCTAATTATATCCTCCCATCCCTAGATTTCCCAAATGATCTCTTCAGGTCGTCTTTGACATTTAAATGTCACCTCTTCTCTTCATCTTTTATTCTTCTGTTCATAATTTGATAATGATATCATAATATAGATGCTTGTTTGTGAATAGATGTATTGTGGCGATGGAGAGTACAATGCAGTTGCCGCCATATGGTTCCAAACTCCAGAGGCCAGTGTACGATCATTGTTCCATGACCCTCCTGGTAAGTTATGCTGCACTCTTGGTTGGTCGTTGTTGCGTGTGGTGTATTTCTGCATTCTAGAGTTAGATTATCTGAAAATACGTCATATTATGGTCGCACCTGTAATTGATGTGGCTGTATATGGGAAACATGTCCAGAAAGGGCAAAGAAATTTGGCGTGATAGTTATTTAAAAATATACGTTCATGTACTTTGGAACATGTACGGCAAATCATTATCATATTCATGACTAGTTGAAGAGCGTAGATTGATGGTTTTTGAGACGAGAGTAATGCGGATATTTGGACCTAAGAGAGGGGGAGTGACTGAAGAATAAAGAAGATTGCATGAACAGCTTTCAAAGTTGTACTCTCCACGTGATTAATCAATCAAGGCAGTCTTTAATCTCTGCATGCAGGAGCATTAAATGTCGCGGTCCCGATCGAACCCATGTTCTGATGGGTCGTGAATCCTGCTAACCACAAATGCACACCATGCTGAATGGTGTGTACTGGACACGAAAAAGAAAAAGTCTGTGCATGATTTATTTCAAGAGGATAATGTCTGAAAGTATCTTTAGAAATGGGGCATGAAGGTAGGGACTGGATTAAGCTGACTCATGATATATTTATGAATGTTTGAAGCTATTGTTATAATCTCCCAATTGTTTAAAATAGGTTTTAAGTAATATTATCCAATAGCCATTAAAGGTAAGCATGGAAACACTGTAAATGTTGTAAACTTTGTTGTTATTTTCTTTTAAATATTACAAAGGGTAATCTTTCACTCTGCCTCTGTTTCAGGCTCGCATAAAGCAGTGTCTGTTGTCGTGTTCTTCATTTTCTACTTCCTGCTGTCGTGCTGGACTTATGGACTCAGCGTGTCCAGCGGACTGTTTATTCCTTCTCTCTTGACCGGTGCTGCTTGGGGGCGATTGGTTGGCAGTGGGATGGCGAGCATTTTGCCCAGTTCCGTAAGTACAAAAGTTAACTGCTTTTGAGAAGAAAGAGAGACAATTTTTGAAGAAATAAATAATTTACATGACCATTACATCACTGCACGGCTTGTTATCATTATGGGTTGGCAGACGGAATTTCTCGAAAGCCAGGCAACCAATCATCTGACTTAGGATTGGGGCTGTTGGTGGTAATGAACCTACGGGTTCAATAAAAGATGGGGAGTTTATTTTTGCCGTATGAGCTTTGAAAAATTCATTCAAGGGGTTTGCCTTAGTAAAATGGAGTATCTGTACTGTTTATTAGTTTTGTAAAGAACAGAATTTTGGCTCCTGCAGCAGCGTTGTTTCTGTATGTCTTTATCTTTCAAACAATAGATTTGTATCATAAATAAACAATTATGAAAAATTTGTTTATTTAGAAACCTTCCATAAAGTAAGGTAATGTGCCTTGGATTCTTTCATAGACGCTTGACTGATATAAATCCTCTTTGTCAGGGGTGGGTTGACCCTGGCAAGTATGCGCTTGTGGGAGCAGCTGCACAGCTTGGAGGCGTGGTACGAATGACCATTAGTTTGACTGTCATCCTTATTGAAGCAACTGGTAACATTACCTTTGGCCTCCCGCTCATGCTGACTCTTATAATGGCCAAATGGACTGGCGACTTCTTCAATGAGGTGAGATCAAAACGTTCAAGACTGTGGAGTATAAATCTGCTGTGTCTGTTTAGTTTGATTTGTGTTAATTTCTTTCCTAATTGCCCTGTTTCTCACAGCATTCAGACCACCAGTCCACGAGTTTCCTGGTTCCGTGAGAATAATTGTTTTCAGCTGGTCTTTAAGCCATTATTACATTGATCCATTCCATGGCTTATGATTTTTTCAAATAAAATTTTTTCAGTGGGGCTTCTTTGGTTATCCTGCAATCACTGATCAATTCACTATGTAACCTATAGTCAGTGGGGCAGAATGCACATCACCTGAAACCATCTTTCCCTGTCAGTGGACACTGTACCTACCTAATATCTGTAATTGAAATGTAATTTTGTAATGAGACCCACGCAGTCAGCTGTAGTGACTTAATTTTTCAGGGTATCTATGACATCCACATTCAGCTTAGCGGAGTTCCCCTGTTACCGTGGGAACCACCCCCATTGTCATATAATATGTATGCCAGCGAAGTAATGAGCCATCCTGTGGTGACATTGAACACGGTTGAATCTGTCAGGCGCATCGTTCATGTGTTGAAGTCTGAGACTTTTAATGGCTTCCCAGTTGTGGATCCTCAGGTTTGTCACTTCATTATTTCTTAGATGTATTTCCCCCAGACTGCATGAATTTACTGCGATACCGATGAGAAGGAAAGAATGAATATTTCAGGTTTCTGATATTTGTTTCTTTCATCAATTCAGTACGATTCATCCTCATTTTCTTGAAGTACTCATTACGTCGGTACTAATGATAATGGCCAGAACATGCGGGCGATCAGATGGTCTACTTTGGGTAAAATTACCATTAAATTAGACAGTTTATCTATCAGTGCTAAGCATCGCTCTCTCGTGTCTGACATAAGGTTTTTGTTATATTTTCAAAGAATAATTGCTTTATGTTGCTATATTACGAGATCACATTCACTGTGTGTCAAATTTACAATTTTTTTTTTAATTTCCAGGGTGATGTGAAGATGTGCCAAACATTTAGAGGAATGATTTTAAGGTCTCAGCTCATAGTGTTGTTGAAAAATAAAATCTTCAATGAATCTGCTGAAATTTGGAATTGCAAACAACCTTCAATCAAGATGTTTAGAGATGAATATCCTCGCTACCTCACTATCCAGGTACAGGCTTCATCTCGTTTATCTTTTTTTTTTATTATTCGGTCGAGGCCACTGGCAAGAACTTTCTTGGATAGGCAGCTTAGGTGTGTTTCTCTGTGCTTTACATTTCTTAGGTTGTATGTGTAGATCATGATGTCATTATCTTCGAAGCAGGAAACGTACTTTCTAGGATGTCTCATAGTTGCGTGTTGGGTATGTGATTGCTTCTTCCATCCACTGTTATTCATCTGCGTGACTCTGTCTTTATTCTGATTGACGATCCTGTTCAGAAATATGAGTTAGGGTAGCTCAGTATAATTTATGACCGTGTACTGGATGACCGGGGTTTGAACCCTGGCAGGAGCGAAGGATTTTTCTTCTTGTCTCTGCATCCAGATTGGCTCTGCCCCCTACCCAGCTTCATGTCCAATGTGTACCAGGAGTCCTTTCTTCAGATGTAAGTGTGGCTGGGTCATGATGCTGACCTCTTATCCCCATTTACTGCCAAGGTCAAGAATAAATAGGTGTTATACTTCCTCTCCCGCAAAATGCTTCCATGGTGTGTTGTGGGACAGATTTGCCTGCCTATTCAGAAATATATTACTTATTTTATGTGCTCTATTTTTGTAGGAAGTAGATGTTACGGAAGAGGAGATGAAGTTTACAGTAGATCTCCGGCCGTTTATGAATCCATCACCATATACAGTTCAGCATGTAAGTACATTAGAACCTACTTGTCTAATGCCACTTGTGACATAACAAAGGACTGGATAAAATTATGTAATGAGGTGTTTCACAATGTGGACTTCACCTAATTTTATTACATTGATGTTGGGCATGCAGCAAATATGGGGGAAGGAAGATGTGTAGAGAATTTTGATGAGGAAACCTCAGCATAGATAGGACCTTTGAAAGAAGAGCGCCAGGTGCAAACTGGATTCAACTAATTCAGAATAGGTTTAGGTTTATTTAGTATTAAACTATGTAGAAATATTGCTACTTAGGGGTGATATTTAATCCCTTGATAAACCTACTCCTTCCGTGGAGCTGAATCCTTGAGAAGCTGACATTTGCTTAGCAGACCAAGAAATTCTCTGCCATTTATACCCTGTTGAGAAAAGTTCTCACAACTGGGCTGTATTCTGAGCCAGTTAAATGCACTCCACACCTCACACTATTTTTTTAAGTGACATTTTAATATTATTGTTCCATACATTTCAAATTTCCAAAATGATGTCTTTGCTGAAGGTTTTCTGACTAAAATTTTGGAAGTGTATCTCATCTCCCTCACACACTGTACATGCTCTAGTCATCTCATTCACTTTGATTTGATCACCAAAGGTATTTTGCGTAAAGTTCAATATATGAAGTTCATTGCTATTTGCTTTTCTCTGGCACTTCGTTCTTCCGTTCATTGGTCCATATATTATTATCGCTTTGTTTTTGTATCCGAAATATATGTTCTACCCTTAGGATGAGTGACTAAGAAGTCCATAATATTGTGTGTCTGTATGAAAATATTCAAATTAGGTTACTATTTTGTGTAATGAAGATAAATGAATGTATTTTTCTTTATGTCACAGTCAGCCTCTTTGCCACGTGTGTTCCGTCTCTTTAGGGCCCTGGGATTGAGACATCTTGCAGTTGTTAATGACACAAATGAGGTAAGGTGTAATTAAGAGGTGAATGGAGAAAATTACACAATGGGAAACTAAAGAATTTGTACATTTTATCGGATATTGTTTGGGTGATGAACAGGACATGTAGCATTCACATACAGAATACATAAGACCTGATTAGAAAATAAAAAATAGATGATTTGGAATACCTGTATGTTGATAAACATCCATATCTCCTTGCACACAGATGATTTCACTTATAATTTTATAATGTCTGTCAGCTTTGATATATATTTTTCTCTCAGGTGACTGGCATTGTAACAAGGAAGGATCTAGCAAGGTACCGTGTGTGGCGACACAGAGGAAGAATGGGCTTAGAGCATTTGGCAATCTCAGAGAAGATATAACTTCCTGGATGAATCTGGTTTGTTGAGTGTGCATTTAGTGCTGAAGTTAAGAATGAATGGATATGTGCGTCTACTCCCACATACATCTTCGTGGTTTGGTGCTTAAGCACAGTGTTGAGATTTGCATAATGAAATAATTCTGCTTTGTATCCAGGGGAAACAATTGAAGTTGGTCATACGAAGTGAATTGGTCATTGTACCATGAAAGGAAGCTGTGAGGTCCTGCTTGCCATGCACAAGACAGAGTTTAAGCATAAGTACTTGTAGTTCTTTCTGACCTGTTACTTTTTAATGCCAAGTGTTAAAGACATTTGTATTTAATTTGTATATACTGTAGTGCTAATTAATAAATGCATTGAAACACACAACAGCGTCTTATACTAAAATGTGCTTACCTTGGTTTTAGATCAATTATATCACAAACATTTCAGAGGCTCTGTTTCATTTGAATGTAATATGATATCTACTGTTGGCTTGTTGAACCTATCATACCTTCTTTGGAGCCCCTGTAGACTTTCCAGGGTTCCTGGCAAGCTTTTTAATTCACTGTGATAATGCCAGAAACAGTGTCCTGCGTAAGTACGTTCTGGTAGGCAGTGTCCTTTGTCAGATGTTCTCATCTTATGCAAATAAGATGCAGGGTTTTTGTGAAGTATAAGAAATAAACGGATAAAGTGTGAAAGTAGGATGTTAGTAAGGAGTTGATTGTCAAGTCTCCCTGAAGACAGCCATCTTTATACTTATAACCATGAGGACCTGAAGTTGTACCCAGATGTGCCAGGGTATGTATGGTATTGAAGGAGGTTATGTAGGAAGAAAGAGCATCTCCCAAGGTAAGGTAAGTAGCACCCTACTTTAACGTTATGTATATTTTTATGAGGGTAAATGGAGTATACATAGATTTGCAGATAAAGATACTAACACTGGTGTCAGAGCTTAAACAAAATTTTGTGAGGGTGAATAATGGGTGGCAGGCTGTTACGAACATGGTAATGAACTTGCAGGTTCCATAAAAGGAATATGATTTATTGACTAACTGATCGAATATCAGCTTTTCAAGACTAATTCAGTTTGATGAAAGAGTTCGTTATGAAGATATCTCATTGTGTGCTTTTAATGCTTGAACAACGTTTGGAGCTGAAAGGGACGTAGGTCGTGATCGGGTAATTTTCGTTATTTGTATGTTGGTATAGTGTGTGGTAGATTGAGCTATTGGCTTAGCTATAGATAAGGGCTGGAATGAGCCAGTGGCGGTAAGGTTTTAAGTCAGTTTTGTTGATTTGGTCACCGTTTATGTGATATTTCACATGCGCTATGAGGTAAAAACTATTTTGGGTTTTGATGTTATTTTTAGCACGTATTGTATGATATGCAATGTTTGTAATCATGTTCGGTAACGATCGGTTATTTGTTATAGGTTAAGTCATGTGGTTAGGGTTCTTGCTTGTGACGTTTTGATGGAAACAGGTGCGGAACATATCTCACTGTGGGGAAAATGTCTGCGTGAATCTTTTACCATTGATTTATGCATTATATTTTTTACGTAACTTTGAAACGTTCTCCCGGATTCAAATCATGGCCCAGAGATAGGCTATTCTGATTGAAGTTTTTCATGGTCTTATGCAACTCCTCTTTACAAATGGTGGGTTACCTTTTGACATCCTGTCCAGTTGTTCATTAATCCGATAATTTGACGCCGTGTATTCGAAGTTATTAGCAGTATTGTGAAACCACAAATACATTAAAATTAAATTCATTATTATAACAGATGTGTCATAAAGTTGAGTATTTGATATGTGTATGGCAGTTAAGCTGAATTATTATGAAATACAATAATAGTAAACTGTTGTATTTGATTCTTCACTGTAATTCCCATTGGTTGTGTTATTTTATTTTCGAGTTTGCAAATTCCATCACACTTGTATCAACGCTAAATAAAATCCAATTTCTTCCAGATTTCATTATTCTCCATCTACCTCATGTTACTTTATGGATATATAACGATTTAACGTGTGATCTGTGTTGTACCAATTAGTCTTCATGTTTTTTTTTCAAGTGAACACCACACCTGTTACTATGAAGGAACATAATTTTGTGTGTTGGCAGATGCTGCTTGATGCTTTTGAAACATGGGACATACTCATGATGGACAGGGGATGTACACCTTTGAAGTGATTCAGTAGACACTACAGTCTGTAGCAGGGGAGGTCATCACACTTGGGCAGACATGAAGCACAGATCGTGAGTAGAAATATTGTTGACAGAACTCTGAACTCTGTATGAAGCTGGGTACTTGCAGTAAACCAAATATGCCATTTCACTGATATTTTTTATCTCCAGGATTTTATGTTAACAACATAGTACCATCAAGATAGATAGGTTTGATACATTAACCATCAGTCCATGGGATAAGGTCAAGTTGCCAACCCATTGTATAGGATTTGTTTTTCTAACGAGTTTGTAAATTTAATTTGTATGCCACTTTAAACTTTCTAGGCTTTGACAGTCTTTCGAGACAAATAAGTTCAACATTATGAACTAATTTTGTCCGTTTAGCTAACAGTTGGTAGAAGGGTTAGACCTTTGTTGGTATAATGGATGTTTAGACAGGAGAGAGCATTTAAAGGGAACAATAAAATGTTTAATATTTGTTTTAGTGACTAAATTTTCATTATCTAAACCACATATTTTTATAAAGTGACTGATGGGATAACATAGCAAGTATTATATATTTAAATTTGTCAGTCACTGTCCAGTGTTGGTAACACAGAGGTTCTTAAGATGTGCTTCTTGAATCAGTCTGCAATTCTTGAGAGGGGAAAGTTACTTTTCTCTCACCACGGGGTCAACCTGACATTGTTGCCCATTAGACCTCCTCCTCAATGGGTACTTTTAATATTTTATGTATCTGATAGGTGAAAGTAGACTGACTGTAAAAATATAGTGTGTGTCTAAACACACTAAGCAAATTAATGTGTTAAATAGCCAGGGTGTGAAAATGACTATTTAGTGAGGTTATGTATGAAGCTCTACCTCCATTCACCCCTTTGTGTTTATGGTATGGTACTTAAGCACAGGAACAACTTGACTACTTTGTATTTGACATTGTTGATAGAAAGTTTGATCTAATCTACAGTAAGGTTAGTAGCCTACATAAACATATAGAAGGAAATTTCTTTGATTAAAAATATGTTAATCTGATAAAATGCCATAGTGCTTACACTCACTGACCTGAGCTTCATGTTGCTATATTTTGTTTATCCTGTTTTTCCTGAATTAACATTGAAGAATATATGATTCAAGCAGAATGCATGTGAATTGGACATGTTTGGAATAAATTATATATTGTATTATGCGTCAAAAAATATTTTATTAAATACATATCATACATATATAGCACATTTGTTACATAGTAGTTATGTTTGAGTCTTCAGAGCAGATAATCAGTGTTCCAGATTCTTCTGTTGTTGAATCCATGTCTTGTTTTATTATGATCACATACGGGAGAACATCTAAAATGATAAGACACACAGAATCTTTACTTTTCCAGCAGTGGTTGGGCAAGCAAAATCTTCCTTAGTAAAACTTGGTCCATATATATATTGCAAGTATGCATCACATTTGAGGTAATATTTGAATAGGGTCCTCTTTCAGTTTAGTGAAGAGAATATTTGCTAATTATCTTTATCCACTGCCAAGAGTAAAAATGCTTGGAGCTTTAGAACATAACAGGTACCTTTTCAGAAGCAACGAAGTTGTCATCACTTGCAGATCTCCTCATCCCATGTTCACTGCAAACAAGAAAAAACAATTTTCATTTGTGTCAGTCAAAAATGTAGTACTTGTTCACGTAGTCTTGGGGAGAACTGGTATTTTTTTTCTCTTGACGGGTAAAGAGGAAGTTTACACCACAATTATAGATAGAGTACAGTCAGTTTGAAAGAAACTAACTTTTCTGTCCTTCATTCCTCATTTGTCTAGATGTTAATTTATTGAGGTAAGAAGTCTTTTGTTTGAAACTTACCACACGTACAGCCCAGAATTACGTTTCATTGCAATTTATGATGTATTTACCATAAATTCCCATATATTTGAACAGAATGACCATCTGCCCAGTTGAGCCCAAGGTCATATTATTTTTCCCTTCCCTCTTGGACAGTTATTGGGTAGAACCTCATCTCTTATAGCCTCTTCCACTTTATTGTGAGTTTTACCTCGCAACGTAGAATGTCGCAACTGAGTAATGCTCACGTACGCTTTGCATCAGGTATGGCTACATGCCATTACCAAGTGGTAAAGTAAAGCTGTCTTGGAGGTTCCCGGGGGGAGAGGAGGTACAGTTCCAACTCATTCTTGACCTTGGAACTACATGTGGGTGAGTGATCAGTGTCACACCACAGCCCACAGTCAGGCTTTATCTCCAGGGAAAGGACACCTGGTATGTACTGGATAGGAGTCTGGGTGGGCCTCAGAATCAGTCTGGATGCAGAAGCTGAAAGAAAATTCCTTCAGCTGGGGATCAGATCCTGGTCGTTCAGGTCGTCGTCAGATGCTATGTTGACTGATATATCCTGGCTCATACGAGCAGTATATTAGGTTAATGTGAGATAGAAAGGTCAAGTTAGTTATTATGATTTCAAATGGGGAGGCAGAGATAGTGATAATATTAAAGTAATCATTGGCTGGCCTTATTTGTAATTCCATCGGTTTGACAGCCTCCTGCCTTGTTTTATATACATAAATTGTCTTAATCCTTTAGACTACTTCTGAATTATTTTGTGAGAGTAACAAAAATAGATCACGTTGCTGTTTCTGTATGATTGTTTGAGAGTCATTTTATGTTACGTGTGCAGCGTATGTGTAAAAGAACTATAAACATTGAATTTGAACATCAGTATATTTATTAACATAGTTATAGAAATAAATGAATATAATAATCAGACATACAGAAGACATAACACGGAAGATAGAAATAGCAGTGATGAGAACTACACATATCGGCTGAGGTACCTGGAAGTATCAAGCGACCGTTTTCCGGGGTTGGCAATGGGAGGGAAGAGCACTGCCGGTGGAGGAAGCGAAGAGAGTTGACCCAGACGTGCAACCGCTGTTGTTCCTGGGATTGGAGGAAGAGGTGAAGGCGTGTAGTCTGAACCTGCGGAGCTAACCACACCAAGTATGAATTTTAATTGTCATGCTGTACAGAGAAATTATACCTGATAGTATGCATTCGCTAAACTCTGGTTAAAGTACAAGTTCTTTAAAATAGTAACATATATACCTGTTTGGTGTCCTCATGGTGATGTCACTTTCAACATGGTCCAGATCGTTGTCAGTGTCGCGCCTCATGGATCGATGGAAGAGAGGCTCTGCGCTAAGTACAGAAGGAGGATGTGCCAAGTGTAAAATTAACACCTCTCATTCTCAATAACTACATCCCTAAGATGTATATTAATGTTATCCTTCCATCTCCTCAGTCTTTGAAGTGGACATTACTCTGGGAAAATTTTAGATGCGTTCCATGTAGCTACTTTCCCAGCATATTGTAGTCTCCTAGCTTTCACTGTCCTAATAATACTATGTGACCTGTGCAGCCCATGAAGTTTCTCCTTATGTAGTTTACAAAACTGCTTACGTCTTCCGTCTTATGTTCAGAAATTTTCCTGAGCATTTTGTTGTCAATGCTTCTAATGCTTATAATACTGCACGCTGTACTTTTGTGTCTTACCTAGGGTGGATAGGTGGCAGCTTGTCTTTGTCTCTGGTGTAACTGCTGAAAGGAACACCAGACTGTGGATAAACACAAGAAAACAAAAAGATATTTAAACAACGCCACTTATTTGCCTTCGAAATTCTTAAACTAGTAATTATGATACTTGGTGATGTATTTTTGTCCAAGACATTTATGCTTCAACCATGCTTGTAGGAAATTAGGAATTACAGAGGGAAAGTGACTTCTGATAGCGTAATATTCTTGCTAAATTTTATGAAAAGCCGTCGGTTTGTCCAAAATCTAAACACGTAGCGACGGACTTAAGGTTCAGATCCTATCTTACCTCGTAACTTGGACTGGCATCTGTGTATGTGGATGCGTGAATCTCTTGCTGGTAAAGCCTGTATAGCTCTTGTAGATCTGGTGGCAATGTGACACGTCCTTCTGCAACCAGGAACAAATTTGACATCACTTGTACTACCACAGACAGAAGTGTGAATGGATATTTCAGAGACTCTCATATTTTTCAAGTGTTTTCATTGCTGTGGTGCGTTCCTCATTGGCCTTCATTTTTATTTATAGTTTATGCAAACTTTGATGGCCAAATATGAAGACTTTGATAACATCCTATGTACAGCTTACCTTCCATCAGTTTTCGCTGCCTAGTGATGATTTCTTCGCAGATGTGACGCTGACGGTCATAGCGCAAGATGACGAGGTCACGTCGCCTTAGTTCGTGCTGCTTGATGAGACGTTCACTCTGTAGTGCCATCTTCTCCGCCTCCAGTTCATGGACACGGCACATGAGGGCCAGTAATTCACGTTCGTCATCTGAACTGATTTGTGATGGGAGCTCCTGAAGAGGATACAGTTTATCTGTTGGAATTTCTTGGGTAAATCTTAATTTATCGCTAGATACTATGGAAGTTAATGAAAACTGCTACATTAAACAGATTTGCAGCTGTGGAAAGCTTGGAATAAAATGGAATGGACATCAGCAGAACTTGGGGCAATGTCAAAGATTATGAATCAAATTGAAACTTAATCCGTGCCTGTTCGTATACCTCTGCCATGTAAAGTGTGGGTATTAAATGCCTCCAACCAGTTTGATAGTCTGAAATCTTTGGTGCCAACTGATGAAAAAGTGAAGCAGTTGATGTCTTATAATTTTTACGCAGAAATTGTATGCTTGGCAAACACAGTTTTGGAACTCGGTTTCTACATATGGACCGTCTGCTGGATTTAACACATTGACTTACAGTGTAGAACCTCAGAAGGATATAAGACTTGTTTCTAATAATGAAATGCAAGAGAGCACACCTATAGAAGAGGCTGCGCTGTACTATGCTACATGATGTAAGCCATTTAGAAATATGTAAAGATATAAGCAGATCATGGACAAGCTACACAGAAGCAGTGGTTGTAACCTTGTCGCCTTAATATGTTCCAACAAGCATTTATTCCAACATATTACAAGAAAAAGTGAGCATTTGCTATCCGTGTGAACCACCGCCCTCTTGATGTGACAAAATGCAGTTAGGTGTTGAGCTTCTGTGCAACCAGACCATGACAATTGAGGTTTGTGTATAGAAGTGTACTGAATTACATTTTCTAGTGCAGCACCCCGCTGCTTACAGTTCTCCAGTTCACGCTCCGTGCTCGCTCTGAGCTCTGCGTAGCGCTCTTGCTCCTTCTCGATGAAAGAAAGTTCGGACCAGGCGATCTGCAGTGGTCCATCACCTCCCGTACCCAAGAATTCTTAATTAAAATAAAACATTGACTCCATATGAGTGTGGGATTAGGATTTAAGTGTCTCAGGATGTGTTTAGTGGTGGAATTTGGTGTTGTAGTGGTGTTGATCTATTAGGTTCTGCTGTTACTCATTACTTAGTGTTCAATTTGCAAAATATATTTTATGGATATTGATATAATCAAACCTCGGTCAGCAGCAAGGTCTGGATCGGTGTTGGGTCTTCGATTCTGCAACCTGACGGCAGTATTGTGACTGTTCTTATACAGCTTGTTGTTTTGAGACTCCCACTGAGAAATAATTGCGTGTTGTTGCTCAGCTTCAGTGCTGAGACTTAAAAGTTGGGCATTGTACTCCATTAGACGACGCCTGGAATGGAGAGAATATGTATTGTTTAACCTTCTGCTGTCAGTGTTGAATACAGCTGAACTTGCGTTGTTTGTGTTACTTATAAAGTTCTCATATGTGATTTTTAAGATTGTGAGGGATGTACAAGATTAGACAAAATGAAGAATGAAGACATAAGAAAATGATTAGGAGTATTTTCAATTAATGACAGAATAAAGAAACATAAAGAAGATTGGCTAGAACGTGTTGAAAGGATGGAAGAAGGACAAATACCAAAACAGGCCCTTTGGTATGGACTCAAAGGAAGAAGAGATCCTGGAAGACCACGTCAAAGATGGATTTCATTGAAGACGGAACACACCACCTGCCTAATACATGATTTGGAGAAACTTTAAAAGAATATTTCAACTCTTAGCATAGCCAAAGCAGTGCAGAGAAAAGTGTCTTGTGTAACTAATGCTATGGAGCAGAGGCCTTCTTGAGAGGTTGATAGTATGCTCAGCTAGTTAAATTCCTTGCCTTTTATGTACCCCAGGGGTTCATTTCTGTCTTTATAAGAACTTAACCACTGGTCTCTATACTGAGCCAAATAAATGCAGTCCACACCCTCCCACTTGATAACTTCTGAATGGTTCTTCCTTTCAAGCCCCTCAACTAAAATTTTGTACACATTTCTCGTGTCCCCATATGTACTACTGCCATGTGCTATGTGTCACTAACAGACCTTAATCTCATCTGCTCCCTGAATGTTGAGACAATTTTTTCTCTGAGTAGCTTCAGCTTCCCTCCTCTGTTGTTCGAAGCGTCGCCAGAACGAGGCCGATCTTCCTCCATCTTGGATCTCAACCTGGAAATCTCATCTCTGAGTTCGCTGATGATAGTTCTGTACTGAGAGACGTGATATGATACATCCAGAACATTGCGCTCCACCTGATTACCAACAAGATGAACAGTGTTTTACTGAGATGAATCATATCACAATTTCTGCACTATGAATATATGACTGCATTGCCCCTGAATGGCAGCGTCTCATGAATACATGACCAGTTCATACAGCTGCATGCCTAGTGACATGAACTGTTAAAGGTTTTATGTATATATATAAGTGATACAAAGGATTAGGGGCTGAGTCGTGAAATGGAAATATATATCTAATTTATCTAACTGGTTGACATGGCAAAATTTTTGACCTGAACCAAACAGTACATATGCTGCATTACGTTGCCTTGTTTGAAATAATCTTAGCATCACGTGTGTGGTTTTCAGGCAACAGTGTTGCACATTACTTGCCTTGGTGGAAATATTCTTGGCTCGATCAGCATACAGTAGCGTGTTTCGGCTCTCCTCTTTATGCATGGCCGCTGGACTGACATGTGCTATCATGACGGTTCTACAATTCCCACTCAATGCGTCCTTTAATAGTCTCGTCAGCTTGGAGTCTCTGTAGTTCACATAACGCGCACCACCAGACAGGGCATTGATGCAGTTACCAAGGGCCAGTAGGGAACGGTTAATGTGCGCTCCTTCCTGCAGACGTTTTCCTCGATTCTGCGTAGAATAAATGTCACTGTAATTTAGACTGAAACTGCAATCCTATCATGCCGTGATGTGCACATGTGCAAAGAAACAGACAGACACAAGGAAAGCCCATTAATGTGACCCATTTCACCAGTTTGTCATGTGTATCAAGTTATAGCTGAAAGAAGTAAAATATATTTATTATACTGATATCTGTTTGTCTGCATGTTATACCCAAGGAAAGTAATTAATGTATGAAATTTTTATTAAAATTGGTTTCAAAAGTTTATTCTAAGGGATTAAATGTTGAATTTTGATTTATAATTATCAGAACATGGGTATAAATGCATCTTTCTATATTTTAATAACAGTACGACTAATGGAAACAATTTTTAATAAAAATTTAGAACGGTTGCCAAGGCTTTATTAATAATAACATAATTTAACAACCGCAGTGTAATTAATGGGATAGGACTCTCACAAGTGTTTCTAATCTCAGAGTTGTGAATCTTCCATTCATCCTTTTAAGTTCAAAACATTCTTCTCATCATTTTGATCTTGAACACACCCCATATTTTGAAATTGTTCCACCATGGATCCATGGTGTTTCACTGTTTTTCACTCTGTAATGCTCTTCCAGCATTTTGACGCATTTGTTTTGAACTGTCACCTTCTGCATAATATTTTCCCCAGGCATTCAAACAAAACAAACGGCTGTCTGTGGTCATTACCTTTGTTTGTGAAGCTCTCTCTGACCCCGCCAGATCAATCATGAACAGCTTCCCGTGTTTGATTCGTGATCTCATTTGCTCGGGCGGTTGGAGCGGTGAGGTTTGTCGAACTGTAACGCTCAGTAGCGCGTGTGAGCGGGAAGAGGTTTTGTTGGCAGCTGTGGGCTCAACAGTGCGTGCTCGATTTCCTTTCTGCAGAAGATGCATAACCTGTACGCGCAGAGAAATATAGCAGTTTGACAGTAATGTGATATAGAGTGGGCGGTTTTTGACTAGTTATGATCTTACAACTGCGTATAATTGTCGTGTTTGAGGATATTCGGTAAATATGGGACATGAATTTGTGTATTATTTTTAATATATTTCCAGCATTTCTGTTGAACAATGTTTAAGAAGTTATTTGCAGTGAACATGATCCTGAGCTGGTTCCATTTTCCTCTCATCCTCAACCTGTCTTCCTAAGAACCATCTTAACATTATCTCTCCCATGTTCTTTGTCTTCAGATGTTCTTTGTTTTTATAAACATTTTTACGTAGTTTCATTGTCTTTACAGTAGTGTTAACAATGATGATGATATTTCTGAGTGTAATTTGGATTTTTGCATAATATAAAGTGTAACGTTTTCCAGTATAAATCCTGCGGTAATTTCAAGTGGAATTTATACGGCAACAATGAAACAGGTTTCGAGTGCTGGTTTCTCATTGGGGATCAAGTTCAATAGATACTGAGGCGGGAAGTAAACATTCTAAGAAGCGTCTTAAGATAAAGTGAAGTATCAGCTGTGTGTTGCTTACCTCGTCAGTAGATGTAGTGGATATCTCTGAGAGACGCGTCACCTGGATATTTCGTCCTCTCGAGTCCTCACGCAGCTCGAGAAAACCTGAACTTGGGTTCAAGAGGTCGCGGATATTTTCGTTGTATATCTCAAGATACGACATCGTCACCTGAAAATGTGTGTTTGATCAAGAATTTTTTAGGAGATACCAGCCTTTTGACTGGAATACCTTGAGGTTCATACGCGAAGTTGTGACACCATTTGGTATTTTGTTATAAACTGCCCATTGTCGAGTGACAGACAATGGTCTCTCGTTGCGTTATTTTCACACAACATTGGTAGATGTAAAATATTTGTTTTTGTTTCACATACTGAAATTATTACATACATTCTCACCAGATGGTGTTCAAACCCGTGATACAATAACATCGTAATTTTGTCAGCCTGCAACTGTTTTTAACGATGTTGAGACTGTATGGATGTTCAGTCCATTCAGAAACAGCCGAGGCGCGATCAATCAAATCTGAACAATGCGCCTATCTTATCCTGTCATGCGAATGGCCTTTCAAGTACCGTGGAGAACCAGACACAGGAATACCGTGGCAATTGATTTTATAGCTGAGGGGCTGCAGTTGCCTGTCTCGGAGACACAATGCCGAAATAACAAATTACCAAGGTTATTGTTTACTGACGCTTAAACGGTGAATTTTGAAAGGACTTACTTTTAATACAGAGTGTACATAATGCAACGTAAGTTGAAATTACTCGAATATTCACTCTTCGTGTTTTGATCTTGGTGGCGGCGACCGTGATACGTGACAGCTGAGAGCAGACGGACAGGAAAATTAAGTTAACTGTTTAAGTTTCGCCATATAAGCTGTTAGAAATTGACAGGCGTTTCAGAAGTGCTTACTGCCTCCGTCATCAGGGCTGTGATGGAGGCAATATGCAGCTATGAAACTTCGGTCCAATTTTTTATCTACCAAACTACACGTCACAGCATCTAAAAAGACGTCTTCCGCATTATTAATCGCAGTGACTATCGTTCGGAGGCAAAAGCAATGCATTTGGTGTACTTCAGCTCATGTTTTGAACTTACTGTGAATTGCTCGGGATTCTTTGAGTCCTTCACAGCTTGGAAGAGGTCGTTGAGGGCTCTGACCATGATCCCGGGCTGCTGAGGACTGCCCACCATAGTGTGTGTCTTACCAGATCCCGTAGCACCATAAGCAAACACAGTGGCGTTGTAACCCAACAGCACGTCGGACACCAGGCCGCTGGACGTGGCCTCGTACACCATGTCCTGAAACCACCACAGGAAGAGACGTACATTTTCATCGTGTCGGATGTTTAATTTCTGAAGGAACTTTACGAATTTCGAATAATTTGGTTTTGGAGGATCTGCATTAGTCTTGGAGTTATTAAGCAAGGATAATTCAAGATGGTTGTCTTTTGGGATTAGCCCTGATGATGGAGGCAGTAAGAACCTCTGAAACGTATCGGATTTCTTAGTAACCTCATTGCTGTTTTATTATAACGACGCTACGACGTTTTGCGGATGTTGCTGTGTGAGACGCCGCTCGTACCTTATGGGTCTTTACGCTCGTTTTCTTTTCAAACATTTATAATTTATGTTCTTCCCTTAAAGTAAGAGATCACTTTCACACCCGTATAAAACAAGTGGCAAAATTATTGTTTTGTATATCTTGTTTTTAGCATTCGGAAAGTAGACGAATTATATCAGTCATTTTTTTAGAATAATTCTATCTCCTGATTTCATTACGAGTCATGTTAGTATTTCAGTAGCCTGTTTATTTCTGTATTAATTTATTTAGTGGCCTGTAGAATAATGCCCGCATTCTTCGTGATATTTAGGTTATACGAGGTGCGATCGGAAAGTTTCTAGACTGCGCCTATAAAAACCCGTACACTTATCTCAGGTATTAAATTCATCCATCACCCTCGAAGTAGTTCCCCTGGGAGTGAACACAACGATCCCAGCGCCGCTGCCAAGCCTGGAAGCATCCCTGGAAATCTTTCTTTGCCAGCCTGTCAAGCACCATCTGCGATCTAACATCTAACCATCCCATCTCTCCTCCCCGAAGCGCTTTCAAGGCGTGTAGTGAGGATAGTAGGTGAATTTCATTTCGCTACGTATCGGACAACAAATATTCCTCAGAGTACAAATTGTAATAATCGTAATTCTCGTTAATATTGAGTACGTGGAATAATTAGACTGCATTAAAGTTCACCTTCATGTAACTCACTACAAGCAAGTGTGAACAGTTTGTACGCAATAAAATTTATGAGTATAGACACCGGAAAACATTTACTGTAGATCAGATTGTTGAAATAGATCTGTCTAAAAGACTTAACAAACTTGAAGATGGCTGTCTTCTGGGTTGTTGGGCCGTGTAGTCCGGTTGTAATTCGCCGACATGGTTACCTCCATCATCAGGGCGATGAGTACCCCCGATGATGGAGGCAGAAAATACCTCTGAAAAGTAGGTAAACTTCTACCAGACTACATTACGCAACAAACTATAAGACAGCCATCTTCAGACTCACCGCCTTGAAAACCTCAAATGCTACTGAAGAAATCTTCTCTTTTAATCCTGCTTTGCGCTATGGCCCCCCCCCCGGACAAATTACTGCCTTTCCACACCCCTGGGGAGACTTATTTCCTAATGAAAAGCTAAAAATGTCAATGTTTACACATGTCACAGGAGTAGCACTTCGCTTTATTGAAAAATCTATTCAATGAAATATGAACATTATTCTTGTTTTGGTTTGTCGCCATGGTAATGTTTTGGACTCATGACTGTCACTCGGTTTATTGTTCGTAATCAACTTGCCATTCGATCCGGGACAGGCCTGATGTGTGAAATAACTAGAATAATTCCATGGAGTAGAGTCACTCTGTTAGTCAGGGAATTTCCCTGCTTTTATGGAACCCGAAGGTCAATTGTTCAGTCCGTACCTCGAAGAAAACACAACACATAACCACTACAATGATTAATTATTTAGTGCAGTTTAGGTAAATAATTTGCTACTTACTCTGAGTATAATATAAAATCAATAAATATAATTTTAGGCTGAACGCTGAATTATTTATCGCAAAGTTCCCATTAGGCTGTATTACTCTCATTTAGGTTAGAGTAGGCATCCCAATTTTTATATCTCCCTTCAGGCTTCAGGGTTACAAAAATGTGTGCATTTCTCATCTCAGCAGTTGATACAGTGTCGTTATATAAACAAACTCATTATTATGCTGTGCAGTAGACTGAGGGGCCCAAATACTCTTCATTCCCATTTCTTACGTCGTCTGCTTGACTTGGTTGCTAGGATACGCTGTATGTTGTCAGACGGGAATCGAAGTAGCTAATGGATTCAGACATTACGACTGTGTATATAGAACGTAAATACGGGTTAAAGTCGTAGGGAGCAAGTTACTGGCGATTTGTTTAAATTGACAGGTCAGGGTCTTGACAACACCAAAACAGTCACATTTTCTTTATTATTGCCAAGCAGACGTCACTACTCGGGAGGTCCCAGGTTTAAATCTCTGCCCGGAGACCGGCTACCCTGACACTTCCTCAAATATCGGGATAATAATTTAAATTAGGCCACTGTCATCTCTC